TTTTAGTTAAATTTATTTGTCATTGATGATTTCTAAATTAAGCGAATAATTGTTAATTTAATTACAACTATAGTTTTCTTGTTGCCATTAAACATTGAACACTTTTTTAATTTTAGAAATTGGTCGTTGAAGGAAGGCAATTACCGTTTGTTTACCTTAGAGCGTATATAACTGTTGAAAAGCTGCATGATATGTTGTCTATGTCAGTGAATCATAAATATTTGAAAGGTAAATAGGAATATACATTCTCTCTCTCTCTCTATGTATATATATATATATATATATATATATATGTACAATTTATGCAGATGTAGTATTCAGTTTTTGTCAGGTTTACATTTAGCCAAAAATGTACGTTGTAATACTGGGTTTGCGTGAGTGAAGAGGAATGCCTAGGAGAGAACCTGAAGCTGGGGCGAATAAGAGAAAAGAGAGTCAACAACAACTAAGTTAGCACTTATTTGTAAAGAAAGTACTGTTTGGCAAAAGTGTATATAAAACAGCCTTTATTATTATCACAGTTTACATAACTATCACCAGAGTAAAAAAATACTTATATACAAACTATAATAAATTACACTGAAAACACATGAAAAGTAAGTGATGAAATCGATACTTGAATACTTAGAAAAATATTACAATTTTTAAGATTCAAGCAATTCAAAGGTGCATTGAATTCAGTTGTGTTTTTGTGACCAATTCCAAATGATACCACACCTCAATTCTTTAAGCAATGATTATCATTATTTCACGAACAACAGTTAGCAGGTGTGTATTTGCAATTTGATGAGCTAGATCAGCGCTTGATGATTTTGTGATTGAATGTAATGTCTTGATTTTACCATTATCTGTAAGTCTTCTAACTGACTTTCACACTAAACAACAGCATTGTATTTATTCCTTAATTGACGATTATTCGATTAGTTGTAACTACGAAGTAAGAATATACGACACTGTGGATAAGGAGTTATTTGAATTCAAACCGAAGCCTAAATAATATCCAATATACACAACTTTGTATATGTTGTATTTACAGTCAGATTTATATAAATTAAATTGAATAGTTTTTAACACATCAGGTATTATTATTCGATAACTTATTGAATGAATAATACGTATATACAGTGTAGTGAAAGAGAACACAGGTGGGGCAACCGAATTGTATTTAACGAAAATTACAGAGTTACTCAGTAAAATCGCGAAACCATATCGTAAATCGTTCATTTGCAAAATAACAGTTCATCATATCGAACTGGACTGTTCCTGTTGCAAAACATCAATCCATTGTCACCTCTATTCATGCGTTTCATACAAATTCCATTGTGTTCCCACTCCTCCTTTCTTGATCTTCCCCCATCCTCTTCTGCTGCCAGACATTACGTTGACATTCACGTCATATACTACTTATAAGTAGCTCGCACCACAGCACCACTACAGTAGTACCATATAATAATTAACTATTTGTAATCAGCAACTATAGCTACTACTAATTGACTGAAACATTGAATTAGTCTTCCTCAAAAATGTAATTAGTTATCGCAGACAATTGGGAAATAAGAACATGTCAGTTTCTTATGTTACTCTCATTGCAATCAATTAAGTCTCTGCTGACTGTTTCACATTGAATTGTTTATGATTGTGTTTATTTTTGGATTCTAAGTATGGTCGTGGACCATTGAAAGCTTGATTTTATATGATTATCCATGAAGTTGTGGTTTATTATGCAATAAAATGAATTTGTGTTGGGTTATTGAGTTATTATACTACATTGGATATCATGAGTTGAACTTACAAGTTGTACGATATATTATAATGGAGAATTCATTTCACATGATAACTAAATTTTACCATTGTTCAATATGTATTGTATGATATGAATTAAAATAGATATTACATAATAATTAATAATATTAATTATTTTTAAATTTTCAATGGTTATTGTAGATATCCGTTTACAAGCAAGTAATAGAATTCGATCTAAGTATTTATATAGATCATCCAGAAAATCAAGAATTAGGTATGTTGTTTTATAGTTGATTACATTTTTGGTTATTATCTATCATTACATGTATCTCTTTAGATGGTGGAGAAAATTTGTAGCTCGCTCAGGTGGATGATTGTGGTGGTGGTGATGGTGTTTGGTTCTCTGAGCTGGATATTTTGATTGTGGAGCTTTCATTGTTCTTCTTCTGAACAAACAGCATTATCAGCACAAACTTCAGATAGGAGAAGTGAAGCATTCGAATTTCTCCACGTGTTTGACCTGCATAGCTTGTTCTGCTGTTAACCTCGATCCATCTCAGAGAACCAAAATACCACCACATGTATATCTGTATGTCTCTGCACAAAAGGTTTGAGTAAGTAAAATGATGGTTGTATCGGAAGAGAAATTTCAATGACTTTTTAAGTATGGTTTGTATATATAATTTCTTATGAATATGATATTGGGTTAATAGCATGTCATCATCACTGTACCAGTCAGTTTAGTCATCCATCAGTTAGCTTAAATCATTAATGAACTTCAACTATAAATAGTCGATGTTATAGTATGTTGTTGTTAATCTGTATGTATGCAAACAACTACAAATCACAACTTTGACTTAGAAACACCATATACAGTACAAAAAAGTGAAGAAATGTAAGCGAATGTCTAGAGACTTGGTATTCATCAAATGAAATAACTAACTATCAACTGAAATATAAACATAGGCTCAACATACATTTTATCTATCAAGAGACAAGCACGAATAAAGCCATTAAAATTGGTTTTTTATTTTAATTTATCGTCGAAATCTTGCAGCAAATTCTCATCCAATATTTCATTTAGTTTTATTTCTGTTCATAATACACTTTACATTCACTACAACAGTAATTGACCAGTTTTTTGCTTCTGTCACTTGTTGTCTTACACATACATATGTAATAGATGAATTTCATTACAGTACAATAATTGATTGCTTGTTCAAAAAGAGGCTATGAATTAGGCAGTCTAACCACTGTGATGATTGTTCCACTTGAACTTATCAGTGGTTATTTTTCACTATAGGTTTTATGAAAATGCTTGAATACACCAGTTGATGAGAATACAAATTAGTTAGATAAAATAGGTTAACGTCTTTTTATTATTTGTAACATGTAAGATGTTGCTGCTTTTAATTGGTACATACAGATGTTTTTGTCTGTCATTAATAAGTGAATTAATAAAATCCACTGAATAGCTTCCTCATGTCGACTGTAGTAGGTGGATCATTTGTAAAGACATGTTACAATAAGGTTTACTTTATCACATAATATGTTAGTTGAACTAAGGATAAACTTTGTTATCAAACAAAATTAATTGGATTAACACATCATGACATAGAGAGACTGTCCATTATCGCTTAATGAATACAAGTTCTTTGAGAAGATGTCTGCTAATTTGTAAATCCTTAGATTCAATCGCTGACAATAATAAGTATAAACTCGTTTGTTTTGGTTTTAGATGTTGGAACGTTAGTAAGGAGCTACTGGATAAATATTTATTGGCTTTAACCAAAGGTATGAGCTTGTCAGCTCGTTACAATTTGCCTCCTATACGTTGTTCAATTCTGGTTATTTGTTCTTTATGCTCAGGATTTGAGCTTCAAAATATTAGGAGATCTAATAGAGTGAAGTTTATTGTAAGTTGAGATTGATTTCTGCATATAAATACCATCTCTAGTCGGTTTGTAAATAGTTGATGTGGTTATATTTTAATTTCAATAAACAGCCATTAATGGTGTTAGCTTACTGTTGTTATCTAGTGATGAATAATCGTTATTCACAATGTATTTTGTATGTTTATCATGATTGACCGACTAACTTATTATCAAGGAGAAATATATTAGTATTATACAACTTCTGCGACTAAAGCTATATAATACAGGTTCATCGCATTGAATAAACTAATTGTTATAACCTCATAGGTAAACCTAAAGCTGTTCTGGATCGTTAGGCGTTTAGAATTTCCGGAGAAAAATAGCCGAAACAATTCATTGATATTGGTTGTTTTTCAAGCTGTTTAAGACTACAGTTGATCAGTCTCTTTGGCATATGCACATCCTGTGTGGACTACCTCGATATTGATCCATTGCACAAGCGAGTGCCTTTCTGAGCTCAGTAAATAATTGGATAATGCGATAACGTTTGAAACAAAAGGTACGGGGTTTGAGTCCCGGAGTGAACATCAACTCTGAGATGCAGGTATATCTGGCTGACGAGTCCTAAATTGAATGAAATGCTCATCCTGGATCCTCCTGTTAGCTTCTATGCATCTCTGTTAAATAACCATTTTTCCTCTTTTTTAACAATTGACGTTAGATCAATTAAAGAGTGTGAGAGTCTTTTTCTTAACTTACTCTCAAAGTATATGTAGTTTTTTAACCAGTAATAATATCCTGCTTTATTCAGTACTCATTGATTTTATTTCATTCTACAGATCAGGAACTTTTGCCTGCGATTCTGTATTTCACTAGTGAAAACATCGGAAAGCTTTCTAGTTGTTCATATTCATCTTTTTTTTTTACAGAAAAAGTTGATAATTTATTAGTGGCTGTTATGTTTGAAACATCGATTATACATAGCTCCTACGGATAGATAGACTAAGACTTTTTTTTATCGGCACAAATTGCAGTGCTTTATATCAGCACAGTGATTTGTAATTAGCCAAACCATTGCAGTGAGAAGCCACTAGTGAAATGTTGTAACGTGAACGAGAAAAGGGTTAATCATCTAGGTGGTATTTATGCAGTTTATGTATGCTATAGATTGTCCAGAAACGAAAGTCGTTTATGCTTACAGTATTTAGCACAATTAACAAAACATCAGTTTATTTATTAGTGTTTGACCTCATTTGTGATGCTATGAAAAATGTGGTATTTTAACTAACAGTTATATCAAGTTCCACGTTCGAACCCATACCGCCATCTTTGATTTTGAGAATCAGGTAGTGTCGTTATCCATTCTAATTATAGTGTGGTTCATATTCCCCAGTACACCTGGTCAATGAGTTAATATGGTAATATTTTATCACACTTATGGTGATTCTTCATCACTTAACTACGATAAGCATAGAACATCATGACTGGAATATGTATCAGTATAAGTTTTGCCATACTTCACATATGAACCGCGACAGAAAACTAACCAAATAAACATTGGAAGAGCAGAAATCACCCAGTCGATGTGAATGCTTTTTTTTATTCTATCTTTTATCAAGTACGGTAATGCATATATAAATGCTTACACATTGTTCTAATGAAATCGTTTGTTATGTTAAAATGCGCCAACAGAAAACTATTGATTATTTACTCCTTAATAATTCTGTTTTGGAACTATATTTCCAAATATCTCTATTTCTCTCTCTCTCTCTCTTTCTCATTTTTCTCTTATTCAAGATGAAAATGTTAAGCTTTATTTATGGTACAATATTCAATGCAATATGTGAAAATGCAGTTATTTATTTCGTAGTAAATAATAAATACAATGTTGTTTCAATAAATAGAATGTTATTACTATTATACGGTTCATTATGGCATACAGAAGAAAATAAAAGAGACACATCATTGTTTCGATCATCGAACCCACCATTAATGGATAAAATAAAATTGATTTGTAAAAATCGTAAAGTGAGTATTTTTCTCTTAATGATTCTTGTTGTTTTATTGTTTTGTCATGTAGTGTGGTCTATTATCCTACATTAATTAGTCCTGCTTGTTTCTCTCTATCAATTAACCAACACTATAAACGTGACCCATTTCAAGTCACTCAGCTGTTAATAATAACAAAAGACTTAGTAAAGCCTGTTACTCTCCTTAAGCCTTAGGTCCTCTACCATGGGACCCCAACTATCTTTGTCGTACGATTTTCCTTTCCAGTTGTTTCCAGGTGTTATTCTATTTATGTTTGCCTTTATTTTGTCTTCTGGTCTTCCTTTGTAATGAAGCTTGATGATTTCTGTAAAGAATCACCTATCTACTCCCAGCGTCTTTAATCTCCAACTGGAAGCTTGTTTATTCTCAGCCGCATTAGTTGTTAGGTGAGGATATCTGGCCAACTAATCCGGAGTATCTTTCATGTACTTGGTTTTAGTAGTTCTCTTAGCTTTAACTGTACACAATAGAAGCATCTTGAAGTTTGTATTGAAAGTTCTGACTCTGCTGTTAGCTGAAAATTGTTTCGAGTTCCAGATGTTCCTTACTTGTAGGAATTCTACCTTTACTCTTCCAATCCTCGCCTTCGAATTTGTATCAGATCTTTCTTGTCTATCAGTAATGCTATCCAGGTACTTAGAGACTCCCACCTCTTTCAGAACTTCTCCATCAAGTGTGATTTGGTTCACGCTCGATGTATTGTCTTTCAGGATGTAGCTTTTCCTTTGTAACTGTTAATTTCTACATCATCAGAGGCGGCTGCTACGCTGTCTATCTTCACTTGCACTCTCTGTTGTGCATGAGGTTGAAGAACTAGGTCATCTGCGAACTCCAAATCGTCCAACTGCACCTAGTCTGTCCTTTATATTTCGTGTTTCCGCTGAGGTTTTCTTATCCATTAAATTACCAAGAGAAAGAGAAATAGCGAGAGTCAATAGCGTTGTCTGACACTGGTCTTTATTTGGAATTCATTTGTGAGTTGTCCTCCATGCACGATTTTGTAGTGTAGCCAGTCAGTTGCAACGTAGAATTCGGTACGTATGTACATCAGTTCCAGTTTTCATACCTTGTTAGCATAAAGAGATGAGAATATCAAGTCAAATCCCAGAGTAGTGTTGGTAGTAACAGTATGGTCGGCAACAGAAAATACTAGGGCTCAACGATACACATCAACAAAATATAAATCACTGAGACGAAAGATAATTATGATGAATTCAGAAACTCGGAATCTGGGTGAGGACGAAAAACCGACACACTTGTGCCATTAGGAAATGATTTTGAACAGTATCATTTAAAGTCTCTAACCACTAGTTACGGTTATCACATGAGCCTCAACCAAATAGTTTGCATGACTTAGTTCAACAAACAATACATTTTTGGTCTGGTGTCACGTTTTAATTTGACTTCCACCAAGTTTCTTTCAGCCTACTTCCACAATAGAAAGAATCGCTCTTGGAGGTAGATAATGGTAAAGTCCGTCATAAGGACTCTTTAGGATAGTAACGGTCTTCTCAGACATAGCATGGTGTCAAAGAAGACTATAAGGTTCTCATATCCACACTGAAATGCTTTCTCGTAGTCAAGGAAGTTGACGTAAATGTATAAGTCCCATTCACTTGATTGTTTCATAGTGATCTCTAGTGTCACTATTTGTCTGATACACGTTCAGTCCTTGCGGAATCTAGCATGCCTAGTTATTGTGACAATTAGTGAAAGTACTTTATACAGTAAAAAATAGTACTGATTATATTTTAAATCATCTGTTCAACAGTGATCGCTTGAATTCTCTAGGGTTGATGTTTTTGTGTTAATTTCCAAATGGAGTAAATGAATAAATCAGATAAGAATCCTAAATCAATGACAGTATTGTTGTCTATTGTTCCCATAGATTTGTTGATTTCGCAGTTGAAAATGATCTCAAAAAATATTACCTTACTTGTATATTGTTAATCTTGTTGTACATATTTTTTTTAACTTTCATAGTTTCTAATCCTTTTATGTGACTAAAGAGTTAAACTAGACTTGTAGAACTCGAGTTTTCGTTAATGAAACAGTGTCTTAATTGTTTAAGGTGTTCAAATATCACATATTTGGTCATAAGGCTCTACTAACTTCAATTGACCTACTTCAATTTGTAATTAGTCAGTAAGGTATAACTAACGAAGTATATGAACTTGTAGTTAATGAATGTACATCAAACACTCGTGTTCGTTCTTAGTTTCCTTAAGTTTCGGGCTTCTGTCAATTATATTTTTAGTGACATTTAAAAATATCTTTTCATTTTCTTGCCTTGACAGTTGTGGAAGAGTTACTCATTATCAGAAGTGTTGGATAGGTTTAGTGCATTTCGTAAAAAGGTTAGTTAGTTAGTTTTGTTTTTTTTTATCAACAACACATGATATTTGTTCATATTTTGTTGTGTTGAGTAGATTTTCTGTGTGTTTTGATTTGATTCTAGCCTATGTTATACTATGTGTATAGTATATGTTATCCTGTTGAAGGTTTCCTATGAGACCAGAGGTTTACTGTGAACACGGCGGATGGTTTAGCATTGCATTTGCAAGTTTTACTAGTAATCTATATACAAATTTGGTTTGCTCGGTAACCAATTTCATTGATACTTGTGGGGTTGGTTACCTTGCAACATTCCCGAGAGTTATTGTCATTGAGGTGCTGTATTGCATTGCTGCATATCACCATTGTTAATAATAATGAGTGCATATTGATGAACACAATCATGGATCGTTAGGAAATAATCACTATATATATATGTATGTATCAGTGTATATTTAAGTGGTGTGAATGGTTCAACTTTCAGGGTATCAGGTGGTACCTGTATGGTTGCTCCACTGGATTGAGCCGAACTGTTCATGTTGAAATGTGAACATGTGGGCAATCAATCTCGTTGGTCCTCTTGAAAACTAATGTAAAATTATCCTTGCCAGTAGAGAGTAGTTAATTTGTATAGATTGTAAATATGTCATTATAAAAAAAGACATTTGACTTACTGCGTATGTAGCATTTTGTGTATCAACAGTTATCCCATCCGACTGGTCTCAATCACTGGTTGTCCCAATCTATAAGAAAGGACAAAAGTCTTTTTGTGACAATCACAGGGGAATAAGTCTAACTAATATAGTTTCTAAAATATTTGCCTCAGTAATAATTCGACGCTTAACGAAAGCTCGTGAAGAGCAAACTTGAGAAAACCTGGCTGGTTTTCGACCTGGACGTGGTTGTATAGACCACATTTTCACACTACGACAGGTCCTGGAACATAGACACACATTTAGGCGTCCTACAATAGTTGTTTTACTGGACCTTAAGGCGGCATTTGACTCTGTAGATGGTGAGGTTTTTTGGCAGTGTCTGTCATCGAAAGGTGTACCAAATAAGTACATTAACATTATACAAGCTCTCTACTCGAAAACCACCGGTCGAGTGAGAGCTTATGGCGAACTGTCACTGTAATTCTTCACTTCAAGTGGTGTCCGTCAGGGATGTCCACTCTCTCCATTCTTGTTTAATTTTACCATAGACATGCTCCTAGAAATAACCTTATCCTCGTCTGAATTTTCTGGAGTAGACCTTCTACCAGGTGGCTCGCTTATTGACTTAGAATATGCCGATGACATTGTCCTACTTGGTGAAGATGCTGACAAAATGCAGAGTCTTCTGACTACCCTAAGCAACAATGCAAGCATATTCGGGATGCGGTTTTCCCCCTTGAAATGCCAAATGTTGCTTCAAGATTGGGTTGCATCAACACCTGAACTAGTGATAGGGAGTGAAGTAGTCGAACGTGTAGACCGCTTCACTTATTTCGGGAGTCTCATCAGTGCTGATGGCCTGGTGACTGACGAAATCTCAGCACGGATACAGAAGGCTCGATTGGCTTTTGCCAACCTGCGTCACTTATGGCGTAGGCGAGATATCCGTTTGCTGACTAAAGGACGAGCGTACTGGGCAGTAGTTCGCTCAGTCTTACTTTATGGCTGTGAAACATGACCAGTGAGACTAGAAGATATTCGTAGATTACTGGTTTTCGATCATAGGTGTCTTCGAAACATTGCTCGTATATCCTGGGAGACCCGAGTGAGCAATGTTGTTATTAGGAAACAGGTGCTAGGTCAGAATGGCAGATCAATCGATGAAGTAGTGAAACTTCATCAGTTGAGGTGGTTGGGGCATGTGCTGCGTATGCCTAACCACCGACTGCCTCGACGAGCTTTGTTTTGTAGTGTAGGAGTAGGTTGGAAGAAAGTTAGGTGCAGCCAAACCAAAACATGGAAGAAATCCATGAAGTCATTGACAAGTGGACTGAGCCATGTCGGGAGTTGTCGACTACCTAGTTGGGGACCGCGAGATGATAATAATCGATGGTTAGATACTCTGAATGACATGGCTCAAAACCGTTTGTAATCTCGCCGGTACATTTATTCTTTATGTTCTCTCAAATCCTAATCTTTCGGCTTCTTCAACACCTCTATTTTTACTTCCTAAATTTTTCTCACTGAATCATACTTCTTGAATAATATATTCTAATCCTAACCTCTCCGCTTACTCATAATACCTTTACTACCTCTTCTTCTATTGGATTTGAATTGACAGTTATTTCTCTGGGTGCTGATGTAGTATGACAACAGAACTGATGTACTTACGTACGAAGTTCTACGTTGCATGTGACTGACTGTATCAACAGTTATCTACAGATCGATGGCTTATATTTATAAGCAAATCAGTTATTAGGAAATGATTGGTTACATTGTTTTTCAGCATGTTCTGTGTAGAATTGTTAATTATTATTATTATTGCAACGTTTGTTAAACCTAGAATAGAATATCATTATCGTTATCTATTTTATCGTGAATAATAATATCAACACATGATGTTTGTAGTTTGAGAAAGTGATTGTATTTGGAGATTGTCCTGACTGTGTTGCACAATACGTCTTGAATCATCGAGTAAACATTGGTCCTATCAAAGCGATTTGGAATAATCTTAGCGGAATGGATAAATGGTAAGGAATGCAATCATACACAGAAGCATAAATATATTTATTGTTTCATTATTTGTGCCAATTGCATACAAGAATTGTATTTGTTTACATACAGTAAACAAACAAGAATTAATGAGTTTTGATTTGAGAGTTCTCTGTTGTTCATTGATAATCGTTATCGGTATCTTGAATAAATTCATATGGTACAGTTTTCCGCCGTCAAGACATTTTTCTTCTCATAAGCTACAAATTGAGTTTTACTGCATTATTTACATTTGCTGTGTATCATCTATTCAGCATTGACCTACTTGTGAAAAGTCAGTAAATTTTATACCATAACGGACTGAATTTCGACAAGTAACCATCTGAACATCGTCAACATCATTGTGTGGGACTACTTGACAGCACATATCCACGGTCTCACTGGGGGGTGTCGAACCCAGGACGTTTAGGTATCAGGATGAGCATTTGACCTTCAGATCATTGATCTCAGGTCTAGTGCTTTACATTTATAATTCGGGTATGCAGTGGTTGTCTAGTCGAAGTCAGTCGGTGATGTTCACGGGATGCCTTCTATACTAACAGAATATTGTGTCAAAAACCGAAATGTATTGAATTTGTCGATCAATTAAAGCAGAGGTGTTATGAATACCATTATGTTGATTGTTTATTTTTTTCCAATACACACTCTGGTTGTGCATAAATGCCCTGGTTTCAAACTTATTTATCCTTTATTAAGATTGTATTTTAAACAACTAGCTCGTTGAACTACAGTATTCAATCCCAAACCAATCAAACTAATGATAGCGCAATCAGAGGTTCGGAGAGTAGAAGATATTCGTCGGTTGTTGGTTTTCGATCATAGGTGTCTTCGAAGCATTGCTCGTATATCCTGGGACACCCGAGTGAGCAACGTTGTCATTAGGAAACGGGTGCTGGCTAAGAATGGAAGATCAATAGATGAAGTATTGAAACTTCATCAGTTGAGGTGGTTGGGGCATGTGCTGCGTATGACTAACCAACGACTGCCTCGATGAGCTTTGTTTTGCAGTGTACGAGTAGATTGGAAGAAAGCTAGGGGTGGCCAAACCAAAACACGGCACAAATCCATGAGGTCACTGACAAGTGGACTTAGTCATGCCGGTAGTTGTCGACTACCTGGTTAGGGTCCGCGAAATGATAATAATCGATGGTTAGAGACCTTGAATGACATGGCTGAGAACCGTTTGCAATTGCGCCGGTGCATTTATTCTTTGTGTTCTCCCAAATCCTAATCTTCTGGATTCTTCAACACCTCTAGTTTTGACTTTCTAAACCTTTCCCACTGAATCATACTTCTTGAATAATATCTTCTAATCTTAACCTCTCCGACTATTTCTAATACCTTTACTACCTCTTCTATTATTGGATTAGAATTGACAATTATATCTCTGTGCTGATGTGGTATAGTAACATGAACTGATGTACTTACGTACGAAATTCTACGTTGCATCTGACTGACTGACTGAATCAGAGGTTCGAATTCTGATTGAGGTACATTAGTTTAATATCAAGGTGGATGGGATAATGGATGATTTGTAATTTATTGCTAAAGTGTTGTACATCAACTGTAATTTTCCGTCCTATTTGTTATATCGTAACTGGTTTTTAACTAGTTCCATCAACATGTATGATGTAAAAAAATAATGTACACCCTCATCAGTTAAACTCTTTTTTATTGATTGATTCATTGGTGTTTATCTTGAAAGGTGCACTTCATACCCAATGACAGGATGGATTGAATTAGAAGGATTAGTAGAGAGTATTTTTCAATATTTATCATTACCGAATGATAAATATTTAATAGAACAAATTGATCAAATTGATGAAACTTACAAACTCAACTCCTTGCCTCTTTGCCTCCTACCTCTTCAAATGATGAACATATCAAATGAATCATTAGGTTATAATAAATTTTCTCCAATTAGATCATCTCAGTAAGTTATGATCGTTTTTCGTATTGATTTTTTTTATGTAGTTCTTGTTCAATATATCAATGATAAATTGGATTATTTGATGATAGAATGTTCACTGAAAATACCACTATGTAATTAAGTTCATACGATTTTCTGTTTGTTTAAATTTTTTTGAGTCTATCTATTTATCTATCTATACTGTTTGAATGATGTTGAATGTGATGTGTAATCTGTTAGACTCTACTGAACCTAGATGTTGTATTCAGTACAATGTGTATTCAGAATGTTAGCTATACTTTTGTTCAATTACTTTATTCAGTGTGTTCATGGAGCCCAGAAAGTGCATATTGAATTTGAACCGAAGTGTTTTAAAGAGGAAATTGAACATAACAGTGGAGTTATATATTTATTTATGATTTTTATGCTACAAGTTTTGGTTTCTGTTGAGTTATTCAGCAGGATGATTTCAAGTCCTGTTAGAATTTAAAGGGTTGTTATTTACTGACTAACCATAAGGTGAAAGAATACTTTTTTTTGAGGGACCTGAAAGTGAAACTGGGTTAAGAGTGGTTTTGGGAACGAGCTAGCATAACTGCAGAACCTGAAAGACAACTACTTGAAACCAGTTTGTTTTTAGTGGTTTAGTTCTATAATTTTTAGACCTTCCCAGCCAACGATGGAAATCTATGGGAAAGCTAACGTGTTTTATTTATTGGACCGAGCTTTTTCTTATTTTTCCCCTTTTGAAAAGACAATATATATTTATACACGTAGGTTGTGGTGTTTGGGCATAAATACCTTACTATCATCACACCTTCACACAGTCACTAGTACAACCTCCACACGATGGACCGTCATTTTCATGCTTCTTGTCCTGTCATTCTCCAACTGGGTAGACTTAACATAGCATTAAGTAAACAGATAATTGCGACGTGATTGAATCATCACAATATACAAACTGCAATAATCACAAACAATATTTGAATTAGTGGAATGTACTAATCAGATTGCACACAGCAAACTGATTACCAACAAAATTACCAAAGTATTCATTTTGCAATAATCATTGTACAATAATGATTAGTATAATATTTTTATGTCATGATGATAAATTAATCATTTGTTTGCAAAAAAAATAAAAGTTTATGTTCTTGTATTAAATTCAGGCATAGTTCTTGCCGCATCTACATATCATCCTCATCTTACATTCAAATGTATACAGAATGTAATATGATTTATCATAATCTAGTGCCAAGTTTATGTCGGACTATTGCACAAACTTGCCAAATTTCCATTGATTTAATTGATCTACGTATTGGTGTTCCGGAAACAATGACATACAGTCTCGTTGCTTTAGAAATGTATTTAAAACAAGCTGCATCTTCTGATATATTTGTTTTATTATTGGGTGATAAGTGAGTATCGTTTATATATATATATGTTTATATGTAATCATTTCCTTACTGTTCATGTAATTGTCAGTCATAATATGATTAGTTCGTGCATATATATATATATATATATATATATATATAGTATTTCAACTCCTTTTTTAAACTTTTAACAGGGTTTTTTTAAAATAACCAAAAAATTTTTTAAAATTTTCACAGCGTTTTTTAAAAATTTTTTTTGAAAAAATAAAATAAGAACTACTTTTAATTAAAATCTTCTTTAGCAATCACTTTTAAACAATTGCGACGTACGTGTCTTGAATAACCTTGTAAATCATCCTTGGTTAATTGATTTACAGAATTTAGTATTAGATTGATAAAAGATTCGTTGAATCCGCTCGCCAGAGATCTTCTTACAATGGATTTAATTTTCGAAAACGTGAATTCGATTGGGTTAAGCATGTAACTATAGGGAGACAAAAACATAACGTTTACTCCCTTTTCATCAAAAAAGTTTTTTGTGATAATTAAGTGATGAATCCTCGCATTATCAAGTATAAAAATACAATTCTTAAAAATTGATTTTTGATTGCATTTTTCAATTAGTTGATCAAAAAACTGAATGAACTTATCTGAATTCACCGAATCAACAAATGTTTTAGCAAAGAGAACTTCATTTTCTGTTATAGCTGATATTAAACTTATATTGGTTCCACGCGTTGATGGAACTAGGGCACTTGTCGGTTTTCCTCTTGTAGATCTTCCCAAGGTTCTTCTTAAGTACAAATTAAAAGAAGATTCATCTATAAAAACTTTTATAAATGTATCTTCAATGTTCATAAAATTTTGAGCATAAATTTGGCGTTTGTTTTTACTGGATTCCGAATTTATATTGACCGATGTATAAGAAATCTTTTTCAAAGTAATCTGAAGTCTATAAATTATCCTTCTTATAGATTCAAGAGAAAGGCCTATAGAAAATGTTTTCTATTTTTTCTCGAATTTCTACCATCGTTATTAACGGGTTTAATTCTATCAATTCTTCAACAAAATTGATAATATCACCGCATATCTTCTTATTTGATGGTTTTCCTGTTTTTTTTCTTCTCAACTCGCGATTCCTTTTTATACAACCTTATAATATTTGTAGCGGCCTGATAATTTACATCTGTAAGAAATGCCGCATCCTTGACACTGTATCCATCTTCAATAACTTTTTTTATAAGGCTTTTTCTTTTTTCATTCGAAATCAAGTTGTTTTTTCTATTTATTTCTGACATTCTAAGGATTACAAAAAATTTTAAAAAAACGCTGTGGTTATTTTAAAAAACCCTGTTAAAAGTTTAAAAAACGAGTTGAAATACTATATATATATATATATATATATATATATATATATATATATATATATATATTATATATTATTATGAACACTCCCTTCAAGATTCAAAAAGGGGTTCAACAAACATCTAGTCGAGTTTGACAAGAATCATGGAACATATTGTCGAAAGGTTTCCGGTAAACTGTCTAAGAAATTTAATCAATTAAAAAAATGATTTTCACATATTTCTTCTTCATAAAAGTATTCAGTGTTGAATGTCAGATGGATAAAAAAAGGCTTGTTGACCATCACTTACAATTTTAAGGTAATTTTTTTTCAACAAACTCTCAACTGTATAATCATTGTTCAGCAATTATTACTATATCAGAGCGCCTAGCTTTTTGGAGGAGGTCCGAAAGCTTTCTGTAAAACTCATCTTTAACCTCGTCTGCACTGCAGTCAGTGGGGGCATAGGCAGATATGACGAAGAGGCAACGGCGAGTGTCCCTATCCTTACGAGTCCCTACTGTCCCGTTTAGTCGGACAGCGCACAAACGACTATCTACTGGGATCCAGTCTAGGAGAGATAGTTCTGCCCTAGGACTCAACGCTATGCCTACGCCAGCAAGACCCCTGGAAGAAAGTTAGGGGCGGCCAAACCAAAACATGGCAGAAATCCATGAAGTCATTGACAAGTGGACTGAGCCATGTCGGTAATTGTCGACTACCTGGACTTTCTAAACTGTTCTCACTAAATCATACTTCTTGAATAATATCTTCTAACCCTAACCTCTCCGATTACTTCTACTTCCCTTACTACCTCTACTACTATTGGATTTGAATTGACAATTATATCTCTGTGCTGATGTGGTATGGCAACATGAACTGATGTACTTACATACCAAGTTCTACGTTGCATCTGACTGACTGACTGTTCACTATTATATTTGATCAAAAGAAAAGATTCTAATCTACGACGTGCATTGTGTAAACTATACAGATTTTCACTTGAATTATTGTGATTTATTCACTAAGTTATGAATTAAAATTAATTAAGTTATTAGTGATGAATGTTTACAAAACTATGCACAATAATAATAATAATCAATATGTGATTTTATGTACGAATGCAAATCATAGCGTAACTAGAAAAAAAACAAATTGAAACATGATGTAACATAGTTTATAGTGAAGTTTCTACAAAATGAGTAAATATCATTCAAATAACTACAAGTCAAAGTTGATAATTATTTACAAATAAAAAAAAATTAAATCCTAGTGGGCAAGGCTAGTGTTACAGAGGTTTTCAGGAGAACCAGACACTATCTAGGTATTGCAACTACAACTTGAACAGTACAACTCAATCTTGTGGTACGACCACACAGGTGCCTGACACTCTGGTGGTGGATCATTCACACCATTTATGATAAGCAATACATGTAGTGATTATTTCTGATCGATGATTGTGTCAATCAATATGCACAGCTTTAAACGGGACAATTTGGCCCATCCCGCTTACATAGCTGTCAAACTCATTATTCTTAGCAATAGTAATTAATATTCTATACCAACGTCCCCAGTAGCAACAATCACTCTTGAGAATGTTGTTGCAAGACAACCACCAATAATATCAATGAAATCGGTCAGCTTGAAAATCAAATTTTTTAAATGGAATATTAGCAAAACTTGCCAAAGTATAGTGCCAAAGCATCCTTATAATATTCTCACAGCGAACCTCTGGTCTTAAAGGTTACTTTCAATTCTATGTAGCAAGCAATATAGATCATGTTGAATCATATCTTAAGATAAGCAATGAATAAATAATAATTTGAGCATATTGTAGTGAACGAGAATACAGGTGGTGCAACCGGAATGTATTTAACGAAAATTACAGAGTTACTCAGTAAAATCGGAAAACCATATCGTAAATCGTTAATTTGCAAAATATCAGTTCATCATATCGAACTGAACTGTTCCTGTTGCAAAACATCAATCCATTGTCACTATTCATGCGTTTCATAAAAATTCCATTGTGTTCTAACTCTTCCTTTCTTGATCTTCCCTCATCTTCTGCTGCCAGACATTACGTTGACACTCACGTCATATACTACTTATAAGTAGCTCGCACCACAATACTATATGAGGCAGTAGTTATAATGATGTAAAAACAAGCGTTAAGATATATATTGAATAACTGATAATTCCTAGTTGAATATGTCAGTTTGTTAGGTAGGTGTCTGTCTGTCTGTTAACTAGAAATAATGAATTGTTTTGTTTATTTTTTTTCAACAACAGATACGGTTGGGTTCCTGAGGAAGCGCTAGTTAGAGCATTGCCAGACTCACTTCTTGCTGAAGTCAATAAATTTTACAAGGTTGGAATGTCTGTCATCGAAATGGAATATCACATGATGAAATTAGCTGTTGTAAATAAATTTTCCGACTCAAATTTGAACATGTTTCATTCTAGGATATTTGTGTTCATTCGAGATTTGAACTGGAGGTTGGTTTGTTCTTCTTCAATTAAGAAAGTTTCATTTTCGATTGCATTTTGTATATGATAGTTTAATGAATTCATATTTATAAGTGAATCTTTTATAGATGATTCTTTTCTCGAATTGTAATCATTCGAGTACTGTACTGAAATACAGCTATTTTATATTTACAGTAGTGAAGTGTTTATCCAAAGACTTTGTTGATGACGATCGTTTCTTCAAGGCTGATGAAATTGTCGATTTTTCGACTTCATTCATCATCACAAAGATTTAAAATTATTATCCGCAGAAGATTTTAAAGTTTTCAGAAATCCTATTAAAAAACACAAGTATATCACCTGCATACTACTACATGTCGATTCCAGAATCTTGGCATCAAGAAGAACACGTTTTACTTACAAAACGATATACACATTACGGGGTTGTGAAGTTTGTTAAGTTACACATTTTTGAAACCATGAATCGATCAATGTTAGACCACCATTAGAAACCTGGAAGCACTGGACGGTCGTTTCGTCCTGGTATGGGACTCCTCAGCAGTGCGCATCTACGACTCCTGCATCCCGCAGGATTCGAACCCAGGACCTTCGGTAATGTGCGCGAACGATATATATTTGAGAAATTGAACTAAAAAAAAATGAAAAAATGTTAAACAGATTTTTACTGAACAACACATTTAATGTATCTACTTCAATCAATCATTGACTGTAAGCTCTGATCATACCACATAGTATTTAGAGTGAAGACTCTTCGATACGTTGATTTTCTTGTTTGTTTTTCTTTTCTGTATATTTCAGTAAAGTACTGTTAGAATTTGAATATCATTACTTCTCAGTTGTTGGGAATGTGACTACTCTAAAGTCAAGCTAAGTCTATGAGTACATACACATCATGCTGTAGAATCGGATGAAGAGGTTTTTCTTTTGAGTCTATCGACATGTTATTCAGTAGAATGACAAAAAGTCTGCTCTATGCAAAGCAATGCCTCAATTGTCATCAAAATCTTCTCTTAATTGAAAATATCTTTCTTTATACAGAAGACTTTTTATCAAGACAATAATTTGATGTTTTTTTTGATGGTTTGTGGTAAATAAATGCACTGGTTCTTTCAATTGTGTTCTCTTGCAAACTATTGTTATATGTATAAGAATTGGATGACTATTTCCTCTCAAGAAATTCCATTCATTTTTTATATATATTCTCTTGTAGTTCATTATATTTTGGCGTATATGATTACTTACTTACTTACTTACTTACTTACTTACACCTGTTACCCTGAATGGAGCATAAGCGGCCGACCAGTATTTTCCAGTCTACTCTATCCTTGGCATCTCTTTCCTGTTCTGTTTAATTTTTTTTCATTCTTCTCATGTCTATCTCCATTTCTTAGTCTGGTATGTTTCTTGGCCTTCCTCTTTTCCCTTGACTATGGGGGTTCTAAGTAAGGGCTTGTCTTGTGACTGACTCAGTTGGGTGCTTTCCTTAATATGTGTCCTATCCACTTCTAGCGCTTTCTCCTAATTTCTTCCTCAACTAAAATCTGGTTTTACATTAGTACATCATTGTAGAAAGTCAATCGGCTTCAGAAATATCAGCAAAATGTTTTACACTGTACCAATTTCTTTTTTTTTCTTAAAAAAATCTAGTCATATACCGAAGGAATATGTACAAGTATTTGGTGATCAGGATCCAGTTAATATTGATCGCCTCAATGCCTTTAAACAACTTCTATCAAATGACGGGATTTCGATTGTCAAGTATGTTAGAGTTTAATTCTATGCTCTATTTTATTATCATTGATATACTTCAATCTAAATCGTTCAAGTAGTAGTCACTTTCTACTAGAATTGAAATCTCTTATAAGATTTGTTGATTAGGTTTGTAAAATTTGTAGAGTTCTTGTTAACGCCGCCTACGTGCTACAATATAAATAGATTGGTCGTAGGTTTTTGATTACATAGATAGATAGATAGATAGATAGATACAACGCAGAACTTCGTACGTACGTACATCAGTTCAGATTGGCATACCACATCAGCACAGAGATGCCACTGTCAGTTCAAATCCAAGAGTGATAACAATAATATAAGTATTACTAGTAATGGAGAAGATTAGGAAGCGAAGATATGATTCGAGAAGTATGATTCAGTAAGATAAATTTAGAAGGAGAAAGATAGAGATAATGAGGAATTCAAGAGGTTAGAGTTTGAGAGAACACAAAGAGTAGATGCACCTGCGCCATTGCAAACGATTCTGAGCCATGTCGTTCAAGGTCTCTAACCATCAGTGATTTTCGTCTTGCAGAACCCAATCAGGTAGCCTACATCTACCAACATGACTCAGTCCACTTGTTAGTAACTTCATGGATTCGTGCCATGTTTTGGTTTGGCCGCCCCTAGCTTTCTTCCAACCTACTCCTACACCACAAAACATATCTCGTCGAGTCAGTCGGTGGTTAGGCATACGTAACACATGTCTCAACCATCTCAACTGATGAAGTTTCACTACTTCATCTACTGATTTGCCATCCCTACCTAGAACTCGTTTCGTAACGACAGCATTTCTCCAAATACTTCCAATTATCAAATTGGCAATAGCTGATGAGTAATATACATAACAACACTACTTTTCACCAAAATAATCTCATAATCACTCATTTTGTAGTTTGTTTTTTATAAAAAAAACTAATTTTGAATGCTTCTCAATTAATATAAAAAAAAATTAATTTTTCTCCTCTTAACTTTAGTTATTCTGCTGAATTCAGTGCTATGATTGATAATCATCCAATGATTGGGAATTTAGACAATTTTCGAAGTCAATTTCTATCAACACTAGAATCAACACTTAAGAGATTATATTCTAATTCTGTAAGTATTTTTTGACACTGTCTACTCCTGTTTCCCTCTCCCCTTTCATATATTTATCATAAAATGTTATTTTATGTCTAAATTTTACTATAACTGAACATTTCAGTGCTTAGAATGTCACGTAGTTTGATGTTAGCCGTTTGTTCTTTTTGATCTTGTCATTTTTGAAGTATGTTAAGAAATGTTTCATTAATTGGAAATGTAAACTTATTAGGAGTCTAAATTACATCCAAAGAAAGGATGAGTGATAGGCATACTAAGAATATTCGTAAGTTAATACTATTTGATCATAGATGTCTTCGAAGCATTGCTCGTGTATCGTGGGACAACCGAGTAAGCAATGCTGTTGTTAGGAAACAAGTACTTGGTAAGATGGCAAATCAATAGATGAAGTAGTGAAACTTCATCGGTCGAGGTGGTTGGGATATGTGTTACGTATGCCTAATCACCGACTGCCTCGTTCAGCTATGTTTTGCGATATAGGAATAGGTCGGAAGAAAGTTAGGGGCGGCCAAACTAAAACATGGCACAAATGCATGAAGTCACTGACAAGTGGACTGAGTCATGTTGGTAGATGCAGACCAACAGGTTGGGGCCCGCCAGACGTTTGTAATCGATAGTTATAGCCTTTGGACGACATGGCTCAAAATCGTTTGCAATGGCACAATTACATCCACCCTTTGTGATCTATGAAATTCTAATCTTCTGAGTTCCACATCAACTCTATCTTTCTCTCTTTTAACTTTGTTTCACTGGATAATACTTCTTGAATGATATCTTCGAACCCTAATCTTCTGCATTACTGCTAATACTTCTACTAACTCTACCACTATAGGGTTTGAAGTGACAATTGCTTATCTGTGCTAATGTGATGTAGCAACATGAACTGATGTACGTACGTACGTACGTACGAAGTTCTACGTTGCAAATGGCTGACTGTAAGTATGACAGAATGTTATTTTACAGTCTGAATATAAAGTAGTATCCAAATATATATATGTATGAAAAGTCTATCATATTGATTTATCATATTTTATGAGTTCCAGACAGCTGTCAACAAATTTACGTAATTTGAAAGACAACAGAATATGTATTGAATTATCAACGTTAACTACATGATTGAAGTTATGTATTGTACATAGACTTAGAAAATATAAATTAGAACTCAAAAGTTTGTTAAGTTGCATTGTCATTGTCTTATTGAAATGATCAGTCTATCGTTGTTAGATCACGATTGAAAACCTAGATGCACTGGACGGCCGTTTTGTCATAGTATGGGACTCATCTGAAATGTTTATCGAGGACCTTCGCTTATGAGAATCGAACCCAGGACTTTCAGTCTCATACGCAACCTGCAGACCACTGAGCTGGCATTCAGCGGTGTTAATGTCTAACTAGGATCAATCCACGGTCTTGTACAACCCCATCCACTGTCGTCGGTGAACACTGCTTCACATCCGACAGGGTTGAACTCCATCGGTCATGACTTCTTACTAGAACTCGGAGAAATTTCCTCACAGAATTAGACACCAGCGAGCACAAGCTTATTTTCGCTATAGGGTTGTGGAGATTGTTGAGTTGCTTTTAAACCATGAATGGTGATCTAATATTGATCGATTTATGAGTTCAAAGTAACCTATTCAAACAGGATTAGTGGTAAGATAATTATCATTAGCGTCAAACAATTATGATGACACCATTTAGTTAGAATAACCATTAAATTATACAAACGAATTATTTTTCGATTTTATTCTATCAGTTGACAAGTTTTCATGAATTTTAAAAATCAATTAATCAATCACAACGTAGAACGTCGTACGTACGTACATCATCAGTTCATGTTGCCATACAACATTAGCACAGAGATGTAATTGTCAATGCAAATGCAATAGTAGTAGAGGTAGTAAAGATGTTAGCAGTAGTCGGAGAGGTTAGGATTAGAAGATATTATTCAAGAAGTAGAATCTAGTGAAATAGACTTAAAATGATGCAGATAAAGTGATGAAGAATTAAAAAGTTTAGGATTCGATAAAACACAAAAAATCAATGCACCTATGCCATTGCAAACGATTTTGAGCCATGTCATTCAGAGTCTTTAACAATCGATTACTAACATCTCGCGGACCCCAACCAGGTAGTCGAAACCTACCGACATAACTCAGTCCACTTGTCAGTGACTGAGAGACCTGGGACCGTGACCTCAGAGCTCAAGGGACAACTACTTGAGGCCCGTCACGCACTGCCGTTTTATTAAAGATTTTTTGAGTATTAGCTCCGCTCTTAAAAGCCCTTATTGGGCAGCTCTTACCGCCGGAAATCCATGAGGTATGGTGAGGTGTGACATTTTCAGGTTCGAATTTTTCTAACACTTCCTTCGTTGTGAGAAGACGGCATCGCTGCAGATGCTGGTTGTCCGAGAGAAACGCCTTATTGCTGTCACACCCCTCTGCAGTCAGCAGTACGACTTCACGCCTAGACCTTGGGTAGCTCCTTTTAGTCTCATCGTTTTCCAATTAAGCTGCTTGTCATGGTAGGACCTACAGGAATATATGTTCCAGCCAAAATAGCTCGGTTGGGTGGTCACGATAGGCAAGCCCGACCACGACGTCATGGTAGGAGCTACGGTCGGGTGAATTTTTAAATATTCTGTAGAATTCTTCGGTAACTTATTTTAATAATTAGCTTATCACAATTATACCGAGATTTGCACTCATTGATTGTTGTAAATTTTTGTAGGTAAATGACGCTGTTAACTTGTCAATGATTACGTTATCTGATGATCATGATGATGACAATAATAATAATAATAACGAACTGATAGATATTTCAACATTTCTTGCTACTTATGTACATCCAATAGCTAATGAAATAACACCACGACATTTGTTAAATATACAACATACTTTTAAAACTATGATTGGACAATATGTTCCGGTATATTCAATTAGTCAACATACAAAATCCGATCAATCTTCAAATGATCAAAGTTAGTTTCGTTTTCAGCAATTAAAATATATTTTGACTAAATTTGTTGTCATAATTTATTACACAGTTTGGGTAAACCTCTTACTACATAGAAATTGTATGCGAATAAGTTACAGAGTGCATATTGATCAATCAACTCTTGTGTTCTGATTCGTAGGCTGTATATGTCATTTACTTACCAATGTGCTAAGATACTTCTGAGAACTAGTGAACACAGGACAGTCATATTTCCCTAGTGTGGGACTTTCCAGCATCAGTGCTTCAGTGTGAGTGATTTCTAGAGTCATTAGTCTGCACTGCTGACGAATAAAAAAGCTTTAAATTGAACCAATCTTGACAAACCATCACTTTAACTACTTTTTTGGTATAATACAAATGTAACACACTATGTATTAAGCTGTCATTTAATCATATTTATTGATTGAGTATGATTTTTATGCTGTGAATGTGTGTTATGTAGTAAGTAGTTAATCTGATTTGCGTTATAATTCTGATCCACAAACAACAATGTGTGTACATAAAATGCATAAAAACGTGTGAATTATTATTGCATGTATTGAAAAAAGAATGAGAAATTATTACAAGGTATCGTCGTCGTTTAGCTTGAATTTTTTTTTGAAACGAAGAACAAAATTTCGTTTAAGATGCTTTTTGATATTCCTTTTTCACAACAAACAAACCGGTTTAATGAATGCTTAAACATGATGTGATGATGATGATGATGATGATGATCTTGCTCACACATGTACACGGGCATGTGTTACCTATGGCTAACCACCGACTGCATCGACGAGCTATGTTTTGTGGTGTAGGAGTAGGTTGGAAGAATGCTAGGGGCGGCCAGACCAAAACATGGCAGAAATCCATGGAATCACTGACAAGTGGATTGAGTCATGTTGGTAGATGCAGACTACCTGGTTGGGGTCCGCGAGACGAGAGTCACCAATGGTTAGAGACTTTGAACGACATGTCTCAAAATCGTTTGCAATGGTGCAAGTGCATCCATTCTTTGAGCTCTCTCAAATGCTAATCTTCTGGAATCGTCAGCACCTCTACCTTTGTCTTTCTAACCTTATCTCACTGAATTATATTTCTTGAATAATATCTTCGAACCCTAGTCTTCTTTATTAACATTAATACCTCTACTATCTTTATCACTATCGGATTTGATTTGACATCTGCCTCTCTGTGCTAATGTGGTATGGCAACCTGAACTGATATACATAAGTACGAGGTTCTACATTGCAACTGACTGACTGACTGACAGACACATGTATACAGTATTATTATTGCACATTTTCGAAACCATGAATCGTTCAATGTTATAGACCACTATTAGAAACCTGGAAGATGAACTGAAAGACGTCCGTTTCGTCCTGGTATGGGAGTCATCAGCGACAGTGCGCATCCATGACTCCTGCACACAGAGGTTAGGCGTTCGCGCACGATACCGAAGGTCCCGGGTTCGAATGCTGTGGGGTGCAGAAGTTGTGGATGCGCACTGCCACTGATGAGTCCCATAGCAGGACGAAACGGCCATCTTTCTGTGTTTCTTCCAGGTTTCTAATGGTGGTCTAACATCGATCAATTCATGATTTCAAAAATGTGTAACTTAACAAGTTTTACAACCCTGTAATGCAGTATTATTATTATTATTATTATTATTATTATTATTATTATTATTATTATTATTATTATTATCAAGATCATGAATTCACAGTGTACACACAAGATAAACTAATCATTTTTAATGTTTATTATTACCTTCTTACACAATAGTTGTTAGTTTTTTACTTATTTACCCTGCATGAGTTAACACTTTTTCATTTAGTGTAAACACCATTTCGCCAACAATCAGTCGTGTTAGTGTGTGTGTTACGAAATATTGAAATGCGTGACATTGAATTTGATTTCTTTGTTTGTTTGTTTTTATTCCTACGCGGCTTAACATACAAAATAGAGATGGATGTGATACACTAGATTAGCTCACTCACTCTCTCACTCATTTTGATTATAAATAAGTGTGATTAAGTTTTGGTAATGATTAATATTGAATGTTTTTCTGTCATAGGCGACCACCCACTCTGTTGTTTACGATATAATGTTAGTTTTCTATGCAAATTGCATAAAAATATAGTTTTTGACGTAACATTGTAGTATGATATTCATAGTATTGGCTTTTTTTGTGAAGTTCTGAGTAGAGATGTTTTGAAATAGTTATTTCCTTAACCAATTCTGATAGTTTCAGTGTAAAAAAAACAATGATCTCCTTAATTCTATGTTGAAAAATCATAAAATGTGCTCACTAGTGACTAGTGGAGTTTCAGCCCTGTTGTGTGTGTAGGCATTAACTACCGAAGATAATAAGATTGGTCTGTGTTAAACATATTTGCACCATTGGCTGCCTGCTTAATGGTCCAGAGGTTGAGTGTTCGTACACAAGACGAAAGGTCTTGTTTTGTATTTCTGCGAGTAGTAGGAGTCGTAAATACGCACTTCAGATGACTCCCATACTAGGACAAAACGACCGTCTAGTGCTTCCAGGTTTATAATGGTGGTCTAACGATGATTGATTCATGATTTCAATGTCAATAAAAGAATTTCAAGTTTATTGAATCGAAGACCTAGTAATCTCTAAAAAGATCAATAAACAGAAAGTCATCCTTGAATAGATGAAAGACTATCTCAACCCATTATCTATCCTCAAGTGGTAGACAAATATGCATAGAGGGCAACGAACGATGATTAATTCAATCAAATCTGACTCATAATTTAGGGTAATGGCTTTCTTTCTTTTTGTAGTAGTAACATTGAATCAAAACGGCAGCCTGAAAGTACCCTCACTGTTCCGATGCATTTTTTATTCATGAACATTGAATTGAAAAAGGGTTCAGCTTCAAAACTGCCGAAGAGATGACTGTGAATATATCTCATGAAAGCCTTTTATTTCATTCAATAAAGCCCCATATTTTTTCTTCACTGTGTATGCCTCATTTTGAGGCATTGTCTAGGAGAAACTGTTGCTCGGGGGGGGGGGTTGCTGTTGCACAGCACTGTACATTTATCAGCTTACTAACTTTCATGAATCTGGTTTTATTGTTCGTAGTGGGCATGTATATTTGATTATTACTAATCTTAAGGGACAATGAAAGTCACCGAGCATCTCGATCCTTGAGAATGTCAAAATTAAGATTCTCTTCTTAGAGTTATGATCATTATTTTTGTTATCCTTTTCTTATTTTAACAGAAGTAACATCGGTTCATTTCTTTTTTGATAGTTTTCAAATATTTTTGTTGATTAGTTAATTTATTTGATGATACCTCTTTTTGAAGAGAAGCATTGATTTGATTTTTTCAATAAAACCTACAGAAATATAATCAGGCATTCATGTTTTATCAAGTATCTTGTGTTTTGTGTGACAATTGCTTCTAGCATAAAAATAGATATATGATGTTTGAATTTGATTTGTAGAGTTCTAATTCACACCGATATTTCCATTAGTCTCGTCAATCTATCCTGCAGAGTGTCTCAGACTTCTTTTGAACAGCTCACTTACTGAGATCGGCTACCCTAGTGCGTTCTTAGAGAAGTATATGTATACGGAGACTTTGACCGTTTGAAAGTTTCCATTAGTGTTAAGAATGCATAGATACTTGGTCAACTATTAACTAACCAAGTTGTAGACTCCATTCTCACTAACACTGTTTTAACTTAAATGATGACTAGATAGAGTGTTACTGCTATCGCCTCAAGATAGAGTGCAGTAATTGCTCACAGATAATTTAAAAATGGATAATCGAAGAGGAAGGCAAAGACTGGGTACTTTTATTGTATTTTAAACTATTCTAAGCCATATCATCTAAAGGTCTCCTAATCACCACTGATATTGTTATGGTTACCGCACTGGCCCAAATCAAATAGTCTGCTTTAACCAGTATGATTCAAATCAATAGTCATTGATTTTATGGAATAACGATATGTTTTGGTCTGCTCACTTGTAACTTTCTCAAAACCTTACTTCAACAAGAGGCTGACATCTTGAGTTGTTATAGGCAGTAGTTAGGCATACGTGTTACAATAATAATAATAATAATACTGATCTTATTCAATAAAATATGCCTCGTTACAGTAGAAAATCCTCAGGACAAAATGTTCAACACTGAAGCACTTAACTTGTATGAATTTACAAAAAACATACAGAAGAAGTCTTTATTTAAACTGTGATTCACTTTGCTCTTTGTATTCATGTAGCAAATTTGTTATGATCAGTTGCTTCACTTATTATATGTCATCTCTTTTCATCTCTGTATATTTTTGACGCATGAATTTTATCGTACAAGTTTGGTTAAGTAAAATTCTACTTTCGTTGTTTATAAATATATATATATATATATATATATATATATATATATATATATATACATACATTAATGAACTCTGCCTTTGTTTTTGTACATCGATTTTGAATTTCAAGAGAAAAATGGAAACATTCTAGTGATTACTGGAAGTCCTGGATGTGGTAAAACTGTTCATTTGGCAGCATTAGCAATGTCTTTGACTGCAACTGACTATCAGTCAGCAAGTACTACTACTACTACTACTACTACTACTACTACTACTACTACTACACAAAAATCACTGTCAAACAATCAATCATCACTAGCTAAATATCAAATTTTAATTCATTTTACCAATGGTATACCATGTACAGGTTTATCATCGTGTAAACAATTATCTACAATGCTTAATCATTGGATTAAATCATTGATTGGTCAATTAAAGAGTTTATTCAATGCATCAAGTATTATTAAAATGTTTCTGTCAAAGATTAAAGTTCATTTGGATCATACAAATACAAATGCAAATGATGATCATAATTTGAAGTAAATTTTGTTTGATTTTATTTTTTTCCCGAACAAAATTTATTTAACTGAATTATAGTGTTGCTTTTTAAATGATTATTTGACTATTATTATCATCATCATCAGCACCATCATCACCATCATCAGCAGCATCATCACCATCATCATCATCATCATCATCAGCATCACCATCATCATCACCATCATCATCAGCATCATCATCAGCATCACCATCATCATCACCATCATCATCATCACCATCAGCAGCATCATCATCATCATCAGCATCATCATCACCATCATCATCAGCACCAGCATCATCATCATCACCATCATCATCACCATCAGCAGCATCATCATCACCATCATCATCAGCATCATCATCATCAGCATCATCATCATCATCATCATCATCATCATCATCAGCATCATCATCATCATCCACCTAATGCCATTCGATTCTTCAAAACTGTCGAAATAATTCGAACAACGATTAGTTGAAAGCAATGCTTATCACATAGATTGACATCAGCTAAGAGAAATCTGTAAAGTCCAAGGAGCGCTCAGCATAAGTTCCATTGTGATTTAATAACTAACTTCTCAACACAGCTACGCACCACCATCTTGCACATCGCGTTGAAATCAGTTGCTCTAGGTTGTTTTTTTGTGTGAGTAAGACACTTTTCATGAATTCATATTCCTCAAGAGTATATTCAATAAATAACATGAGATTACCGGCAAACATCATTACTAACATTTTAGTCTATGATAAGACCTAAAAGTAACTGTCAACCTCTGTTTACTTATTTTTATTTCATTGTAAAATGTTTTGATGTGTGTGTGTTTCTTTTGTTGTAGACTGAAAATGCTTTGTTTTAAGAAAATAATATGCTTCTTGGGTTCCGTACCTGAATTGAATTATGCATTTCTAATTGATGATGTTGACTATCTTGATCCACTGATGTTGGACGACTGGTTACCATCGGTTTTACCAAAAGTAAGTGTTGTTTTTTTTGAACAGCTAAAGTCAACATTGTCCAGCTGGTGGTAATTTTTTTTGATTTAGTTAGTAGCATGTCAGTCAATCAATCAGTGAGCTACAACGAAGAACTTCGTACGTACGTATATCAGTTCAAGTTGCCATACCATATTAGCACACAGAGATTGTATTGTCAATTCAAATCCCATAGTAGTCGAGGTAGTATAAGTATTCGTGGTAATGATATAAAATTAGGGAGTGGAGATATGATTCGAGAATTCCATCCCAATGGAATCAATTTAAAACGAGGAAGAAACGGTCATGAGGAATTCAGAAGATTAGGATTTGAGAGAATACAAAGGATGAATACACCTGCGCCATGTCATTCAAGGTCTCCAACCATCGATTACTATCATCTCGCGGACCACAACAAGGTAGTCTACACTTACCATTTGTCAGTGACTTCATGCATTTGTGCCATGTTTTGGTTTGGCCGCCCCTATCTTTCTTCTAACCTATCCCTACATTAGACAGCATTGCCCATCGAGGCATATGTAACACATGTCCCAACCACCTCAACTGGTGAAGTTTCACTACTTCATCAATTGATCTGCCATCCTTACATAGAACGTATTTCCTAACAACAGCATTGCTTACTTGATTGTCCGAGGATATACGAGCAATGCTTCGGAGACAATTATGATCTAAAACCAGCAACGTATTAATATCTACTCTGACTGACCATGTTTCGCATCCATAAAGTAGGATGGAGCGAACTGCTCCACAGTAGTCTCGTCCTTTGGTTAGCAAACGAATATCTCGCTTACGCCATAAATGACGCAAGTTGACAAAAGCCAATCGAGCCTTCTGTATCCTTGCTGAGGTTTCGTCAGACACCAGGCCATCATCACTGATGAGACTCCTAAGATAAGTGAAGCGGTCAACACATTCACCTATTTCACTCCTTATCAGTTGTTCAGGTACGCATGCAAACGTTCATACCATGTAGGTTATTGATTTGACATTGTATCAGATTTCATTGTCTTATCGATTGATACACATTATGAGAGATGATGAATCGACTTGTTTTATTCATTATGATTTAAGATTTTGCATGCGTGACTTATTTTTCTCTCTGGTGTTGTGCAACTACATGAAGAAAAACTTGAACATGAAAGCAACAGTATTGATTTTGTTTCTATACCCAACGCATATACGATCGGTGTCAACGTGAAATATGACAAAATAATTTACAAAACTAACTCTCTTTGATTAAGTTAACGTGAATCTTGCTTCATTGATCATGAATTAGTTTATTTCTTGTTGATCCAAAATTTCTGTTGATTGAGATTTATAAATTAGTGAGTAATATATTATAAATCGGTCTAATTTCCCAAAGATTAAAGTCAAGTCAAGTCACGAAGTGACATAAGTTGTAGAGTAAGTTGGAAACGAATGAATAACACACAATTGTTACACTCTAATTTAAAACTGTTTGACTCTGCGCATTGACAACGCCTTACTTAATTAGTTACTTAAGCTTGTTATCCCTAGTGGAGCATAGACCGCCGATGGGGATTCTTCGACGTACGCTGTCCACTCGATTTCTGTTCAATGTTTGGTCATTCTTTTCATGTGAGCTTCCAATTCTCGGCATAATGTGATTTTTGGTCCTATCCTTTTTCTGTGGTCTTGATGGTTCCAAGTGAGGGCTTGTCTTATAGCTCAGTTTGATGCTTTGCTCAATGTTTGTCCGATCCAGTTCCAGCGCTTGCCCTTGATTTCTTTATCTTCTGAACTCTGGTTTGTTCTCTCCCACAGTAGGTTGTTGCTGATAGTATCTGGCCAGCGGATCGGAAGTATTTTGCGTAGACAGCTTTTAATGGATCCTTTTATCTTCTGAATGATGGTTTTCGTGGTTCTGCAAGTTTCCGCCTCATACAATAGAACTGCCTCGACGTTTGTATTGAAATTTCTGACTTTATGTGTTGGTTGATAATTGTTTTGAGTTCCTGACTTTCTTCTATTGAAAAAAATACTGTTCTTGCTTTGCAAATCCATGCCTTCCCATCTGCGTGAAATTCACCTAACTTATCAATGATGTTACCCTAGATACGTAAAGATTTCTACATCCTCTGAAGTCTCTCCGTCAAGTTTACTGAAAAACAGTATGCACACATGTCCAGGAACCATAGTCTTTATGTTTCACGGCGAATACGGCATTGCTAAATTACGATGTCTTGTGTTCCACATTTTCAACTTTTTTATTTTTCTATTCTTGACCTACTACTGTGGTGTGAGCTACTTATAAGTAGTATATGATGTGAGTGTCAACGTAATGTCTGGCAACAAAAGATGGGGGAAAGATCAAGAAAGGAAGAGATAGAACACAATGGAATTTGTATGAAACGCATGAATAGTGACAATGGATTGATGTTTTGCAACAGGAACAGTCCAGTTCGATATGATGAACTGATATTTTGCGAATGAACGATTTACGATATGGTTTTCCTATTTTACTGAGTAACTCTGTAATTTTCGTTAGATACAGTCCGGTTGCCCCACCTGTGTTCTCGTTCACTACGCTACTACCACAATTTGTCGTTTTAGTTGACTTCACTAGTTGCACTGTCATACCAAACACATGCAGAAATTCATCTCACACCTAGTCAGCAGTCCCTCCCTAATGAGTAGTATACGCAATCAATTTACAATGGATTTCTACAATTTAACTATTTAATATTATGTAAAAAATGAAAATTATTCAACATTATTTTGTTAATCTGTTCTTTTCTTTTCTTTTCTTTTCTTTACTTTACTTTCCTCCTCCTGCTTCTTTAGAATGTTCATTTTATTTTTACATGTGATGCTAATTCGAAATTTCTACAAGCAATAACAACAACAACAACCAATCGATGCCATAACAATAACACTTGTTTAATAATATATCCAATACCTCAATTAAATGCCAATGAATGTCGTGCCATTATATTAAATCATTTAAATAATTATGGAGTATGTTGTGTGCATTCACAATTGGAATATGAGGTATGTTGTGTTTATTTATTATGCTGTGAGTTGATTGAGTTCATTCATATTTGTTTTTTTATTTTACATAAATGTTGTTGTGTATAGATGTGTGAATCCTGCAATATTGATTGATGATAAGTTCGTCACTTAGTATGCTTGAGGCTATTACGAGTTTACCTTAGTCGATAAACGCAAACGAGACTTTTACCAGCGTCCAGGTAGGCTACCTTGAATACCCAAAGTCGAAATAAAAAGCTTTGTAAGCGTAGAAGTATATTCTACAAACACCCAGCAATCACAGTACAATTAAGCATACAACTCTCGGTTATTTATGCAACATAGAAACGTCCTTGAGACAGTTAAGAAAATAGCACACTAAAATACTCAGCAGCCAATCACAGCCATGGATTTTGCTGGTGGGAATTGAAATCTCAAGGTCATCTGATCAGCCCATGCTGGCGAAACGTGAAAACCAAAATACGGCATTATCAAGCGAATTTTTGGGGATCTAACAATTGAGGAATAAGAAAAAAATTTCGGAAATCCTATTTTTATCCCATCTTTTTTGTTTGTTTATTCTGCATCTCATTGTAGATCTCTGAATTAATTTCAACTTGTGAATCAAATAATCCATTGTATTTCAATATAGTTTGTAAATATTTAAAATTATGCAGAACTCATGATGAGGTATGTATATTTTCGTTGTTATTAATTATTATTATTTATGAATTTTCGATAATATATTGTTATTTTATAACTCCGTCAGTAGAACCTTCGAGGATACTGCCGGTCCCAAGCCTGGATAAAGGAGGTGGGTTGGATATGGGGTTGGCTACCCCATCCCGTCAAAAACTAACTCGCCAAAATAAAATGCTAACCAGAAAAAATAATTCAAACCATTTTAACTCTGCCTTGGGAGTTTGAAGAAGAATTATGACGTCGCGTGATCAAAGCCGAGTTCCCTCGGAAGTCACGGGGCCGATGCCTCTTCTGACAACCAGAGCAACCATTTTTTTAGGTACATGGGACGTTTGTACATTGTGGGAGACTGGAAGACTATTTCAAGTTGCTGAAGAAATGAAAAGATACAACCTCAAGGTGCTCGTCATCAGTAAAACGTATTGCACACAAGTAGGACAACTGAGACTAGCTTCAGGGGAACTGCTGTTATACTCTGGTCATGAAAAGGAAAATGCTTCACATACACAAGGAGTTGCACTGATGCTGCCCAAACATGCACAAAAGGCACTGATAGGATGGGAATCTCATGGACCGAGGATCATTAAAGCATCCTTCAAAACAAAGAAAGAGGACATTACAATCAACTTCATCCAATGTTATGCACCTACCAACGACTATCATGACGACGTTAAAGATCAATTCTACGAAAGGCTGCAGTCAATCGTCGAGAAATGTTCACCAAAGGATTTGACGATTCTTATGGAAGACCTAAATGCCAAGGTTGGCATGGACAACACTGAACATGAAGACATCATGGGACGACATGGACTGGGAGAAAGGAAAGAAAACGATGGGAGATTTGCAAACCTATGTGCCTTCAACAAACTGGTCATCGGAGGCACAATATTCCCGCACAAACGCATTCACAAAGCCACATGGATTTCACCGGACCACACTACTCAGAACCGAATTGACCATATCTGTATCAACAAAACGTTCAGAAGGACCATGGAGGATGTGAGAATCAAGAGAGGAGCCGATATAGCCTCAGATCACCACTTGCTGATTGCCAAAATGAAACTGAAACTAAAGAAGCACTGGACAACGGGACAGACAACATCACACAAGTTTAATGTAGCCTTTCTTCGAGATACTGTAAAGCTCAACGAATTCAAGATAGCCCTTACCAATAGGTCCCAGGCATTTCAGGATCTACTCAATGGAGAGGAAGCAACATTGGAAAACAATTGGAAAGGGATTAAGGAGGCAATCACTTCAACATGTCACGAAGTTCTGGGTCACAAGAAGTACCATCACAAGGAATGGATCTCTTCACATACACAAGGAGTTGCACTGATGTTGTCCAAACAAGCACAAAAGACACTGATATTATTATTATGAATTTTCGATAATATATTGTTGTTTTATACGATGGTTTGATATTCCAAACTGAATTTTGTTCGTGTAATATATAGAGTAGTTAATTGTCAACACTAGGATGCTGCAGTCAACTGACCAAAACCTTCAATAAGATGAAGTGCTTTTCTTGAATTCGATTGTTAGTTGCAATCCGCCTATTGTTTAAAATGCTTATTATTCTTCTCATTGAATCATACTTCTTGAATAATATCTTCTAATCCTAACCTCTCCGATTACTCATAATACCTTTACTACCTCTTCTACTATTGGATATGAATTGACAATTAAATCTCTGTACTGATAAGGTACGGCAACATGAACTGATGTACTTACGTACGAAGTTCTACGTTGCATCTGACTGACTGACTGATCTACGGTTGTCGACCCTTCTTTGAGAGTACATAATCTCACCACTGTTTCTACTTGATCATCGTGAATAATTATTACTAAATTATCTCACAATTCTACCGCTAATACTTTAAACACATCGACCAGTAGTAGTACATTTCCTTCAACACAAAGTAACAAACAATATAAGAGACTGTGTACAATAATAAGAATTTAATTAACTTCAAAATTACATCCTTGCAATAAGTTTTAAAAAAAAATACGCCTGTCCAAAATTTACATCATCATCATCATCATCATTAAACTCAATCAGTTTTATATACTAATTAGTTTTTTCACACAATTAATAATGTTCACATAGAGCAAAGTACGCGTAGTTGTTGTTGTTGTGATGATAATTAATACACACAGGCGCTAAATGTTGTCAATTCATCAAACTAAGCTAAGTTAATACTGAATTGTATATTTTATACATGTTCAATCATACTTGAAGCACTATTTTACACCTTATGATAAATGAATGTGAGAAGAGTTAGTCGTGGAGATAAGAGAGGTATTAGGGGGTGTAGGAAGGATTTGATTTTGACCTATTTAGTCTCGTGTGCTGTTGCGGGTATGAGGGCGGTTATCACTTCCCGGCTGCCCACACTGTGGAAGGGTGTTTCTTGAGGAACCTGGAAGGGAAGGTAGATTAGTGTTGTTCTTAGAGACCTGGGTGCGTGACCGCAGAGTCCAAGGGACAACTGCTTGAGGCCAATCACGCACGGCCCTTTTGTTACAGGTTATTTGAGTATTAGCTCCGCTCCTAAAAGCCCTTAGTGAACACCCTTACCGCCGGAGACGGAAATCCGTGAGGTAGGGTGAGGTGTGACATTCTTAGGGTCGACCTTTTCTAACCCTCCCTTCCTTGTGAGAAGGCAGCATCGCTGCAGATGCTGGTTATCCGAGGGAAACACCTTACTGCTGCCACACCCCTCTGCAGTCAGCAGTACGACTTCGCCCTCAGACCTTGAGTAGCTGCTTTTAGTCTCATCGATCTTTGTGCTAATGTGGTATGGTAACATGAAATTATGTACATACGTACGTAGTTCTACGTTGCAACTGACTGACTGACTGATTACACCTTGTGAAGATGAAATCGAAGAAGCTCAGTAAATTTCACCTAAATGTCTTAAATAATTTTTCCGATTACTGTTTTACATGGTGTGGTGATGTGTTGGTTTATCGTTTCTGTTATTTTGGAAAAAGCTACTTCAAATTATTGTTTTTCACAATATTTTCTCATTTTTTATAATCTTGTTATTAAGTATATATCCTAATTACTTACTGACGCCTAATGAAGTGTAGACTGACAACCAGCATTCTCCAACCTACTCTGTTCTGGGTCTCTTAACTCTAACCAGTTACTATTCATCCTTTTGATGTCTGTTTCCAATTCTTGGGGAAGTGTGTTTCTCAGTCTATCTATCTCTTCTCGTTTGACCTTGAGGGTTCCAAGTTAGGGTCTGCCTCGCATTGCCTGTCCGATTGCCAGCTCCAGTTCTTTCTCCTAATTTCTTCCTCAGCTGCAATTTGGTTTGTTGTTGCTGATGGTGTCTGACCAGCGGTTCCGAAGTATTTATCTTTATCCTATCAACTAATTGAAAGGCATATAATGTAATTGATCAAAACTCATTATTTCATGATACTTTTGACAATGAACATTTGAATACAATGGAAACGTAAATCTCTGTAAAAAAACTAACTGTATTGTTTTTGTTGTTTTTCCGAGGTTTATAAGAAGACAATAATCAAATTTCTCAATATCTTTTATTATTGAATAAGCTTTTGGTAGTGTATGTTAAATCTTAATATTCCTTCATAGAATCGATCAGTCAGTCAGTCAGTCAGTCAGTTGCTACGTAAGAACTTCGTACGTATGTACATAAGTTTATGTTGCCATACCACATGAGCACAGAGACGCAAATGTCAAATCAAATCACATAGTGATGAAGATAGTAGAGGTATTAATGGTAATGAAGATGACTAGGGTTTGAAGATATTATTCAAGAAGTATAATTCAGTGAGATAAGGTTAGAAAGACAAAGGTAGAGGTGCTGACGATTCCAGAAGATTAGGATTTGAGAGAGCTCAAAGAATGGATGCACTTACGCCATTGCAAACGATTTTGAGCCGTGTCATTCAGAGTCTCTAACCATCGGTGACTATCGTCTCGCGGACCCCAACCAGGTAGTCAACATCTACCAACATGACTCAGTCCACTTTTCAGTGATTTCATGGATTTCTGCCATATTTTGGTTTGGCCGCCCCTAAGTTTCTTCCAATCTACTCGTACACCACAAAACATAGCTCGTCGAGGCAGTCGGTGGTTGGCCATACGTAACACATGTCCCAACTACCTCAATAAATCGATAATATACTTTCATACCTCAAAGATTGACCGTTCCTAGCAGCTTACTAATCACATTTGTCAGTTATTTATCTCGATTTATATCAATTATACTTATGCTTCTATGTTTGTTTCATTATTATGATTATTATTATCATTATTTAGGTAAAATCTCTTATGAAAAAGTTATCTGGTTCTACAATTCATCAATTGATCGATCAAATGATCATGAAAAATGTTGAAGTTGAAGTTGAAGAATTATATAACAAAGATTTAATTATTGCAACATTTGGTTTTCTAACTTTTTATCGTTATTCATTATCAACTAAAGAACTGTTCATGTTACTCAATCAATGGCTTTTGATTACACAAAATATCAATGAAAAAAGTTCTATTGTATCATCATGGGAAACGACTAACGCATGGAAAATGCTTTCTACCATACAAACAAAACCGAATGATTTAGAATCAATTTGTAAATTGGACAGGAATATTGATAAATTTATCTTATCGACATTTTCAAATAGTGTGTATGCTGATAACGATGATGATGATGATGGTGATGATGTCCATAAATACGCACAATTACATCATCATTTAACTCCGTTTGCATTTTGTTTACTGCTTAAAAGATTACAACCCTTATTGATTTTTTTCAATAATACACCCAATAATAATAATAATAATAATAATAATAATGTTATGTTAACTAAAGAAATGACATTCAAGCATAAAATTGAATTATGGAATTTAACAGCTAAAAATGTATCATTTCAAAATTGTTGTTCAATGAAACAATTAATATTGAATAAATTTTTAAAAAATCATGAAAATTACATGTATTCAGAGTATGCTTTAAATGTGACCATACATAAAATATTGGCTATTGTTATGCCAGATTTAGATGATAAATTATATCATTTTGTAAGTTGATTTCAAATGTAATTATTGCCCTATAATAAAATACTACATAAGTAGATGTACTGTAACATTACAGTAACAGTAGTCACCGAACAGCGGGTCCGATCTAATATCGCAACACACAGAGTTATCTCAACACTTCACACCAAGAGAGAGAACACGAAGTCGTCGCCAAGGCAATCTTTATTTTTAAAATTAAACACGCGGGGTTTCTACAGAAATAGAGTGGGCGGTGTGCCAAGGTCTTATGAGTCCTCCTGTAAGCTCAGAGCATTCAGGGCTTGTTCTTCTGCTTCCAAAGCGTTACTGTTTGATCGCCCTGAAATAGAAAGAAAACAAGATGGGTTAGCAACATCTACATAGTGATTTTGACTCCGTTACAGTACTACTGTAGTGAACGAGAACACAGGTGGGGCAACCGAATTGTATTTAACGAAAATTACAGAGTTACTCAGTAAAATCGGAAAACCATATCGTAAATTGTTCATTTGCAAAATATCAGTTCATCATATCGAACTGGACTGTTCCTGTTGCCAAACATAATCCATTGTCACTATTCACGCGTTTCATACAAATTCCATTGTTTTCTAACTCTTCCTTTCTTGATCTTCCCCCATCTTCGGCTGCCAGACATTACGTTGACACTCACGTCATATACTACTTATAAGTAGCTCACACTACTACGAAGTTGCGTAATAAGATGAAACGGACAGACATCAAATTGTACAAATATATTGAGCCAACACACGGCTTGTTTTTCCTCCAGCCTTTGAAAAACTTAATGAATCCAATCTTCGCCAGCTATTCACACGTCGTTTGAATTTGTCAGATGTTCGGTTCTGCTCTCAGGTTTCTAATGGTGGTCTAACATTGGTCGATTCATGGTTACAAATAAAACTTAACAATCTTCACAACAACCCCGCAATGAAATAATTTTTATACATAAACTACAAAACGCTTTCTGGTTTACAACAATTTCTTGGCGAGGACCAATTCGTAATGTGTGAAACATTGTAGTTTATGTGTCTTGTTATAGAGAAAAAACATCAATTCATGTTTGAAGTGGTCGAAATAAACCTAATACCTTAAAGCGTAACTAAGATCGTTTGAAAAAGGCCGGATTTCAGTCACATGACTGAATATATATATATATATATATATATATATATATATATATATATATATATATATATATTCAATGATTCCTTAGATCAACTTGAACATTGCTTGAACCATTGCTTCTAATGCTGCTGATTTGTAATTCGTAAAGCCGAAGAAGAGAACTTTTAAAAAATAAGTTCTCACAGGTTCGTTCCCTCAATATTAATATGTATGGTCATAATAATCTTTCTTACATAACCTATGCGCAAAAGGTTGAATTTTCCATTGAGTCACATTTCATTGACTAAAGTTTACATAATTTTTGTAAAGTATTTATTATTAAACCTTGAAGAAATATGAACAGAGAAATGAGAAGACATATTTTGTGAGATATTACCATTTCGTGCTTTCTCGTCAGTCACATACAAGTAACATGTTATTTGTGTAAATACAGTTTTGAAGATAAAGTCAAATTTCTTATTTAGCATGACATTCACTAACTAGAACCATGGTAAACAAAGGTCAACATACAGTTGTTTTTGAACACATAAAGTTGGACTTTTCCGACCAATCAAGATAGCTTCGAGTAGTTTAAGTGTGTGTGGGTTTTGATGACATGTCACAACTCTAAAGGCTGATTTCGAGTCAATTTGATGACCACTCATCATTGGATGTTTTGCGATGGATGAGGCTGGGTTTCTTGATCGATTTTGAGATGACGGGCTAGGTTGATGAATCATGGATTTGATTAACCATTTTGGAATATGTTCCCCTATCCTGTCTTCCAGTCGGCGATCTGTCCTCCCTAAGTAACTTTCTCCGCGGTTACATGAAGAAATAATCAGATAGACAGATAGAATAAAGCTCACCGTATTTCTTTTCATTGGCTTTTGTTTTAAATTTGAATAAGCACCAAAGTTGAAGTTGTATTTGACTGTCGATAATATTTTTTCTAAGCCTATACCAGAGAAGCACAGTGTTGTTCATTCACTTTGCTTAAATTCCTTCTTTATGTCTTGTATATATAGACACACACACACAACTTTTTCTTATTTCTCATTCCTTTTGTTTGTTTGTTTGTTATTTTTCATAAAAAAAGCTATATGCTGATGAATTGGATATTATTTGTCATTTGCTTACTAGTCCCATATTTATATACAGAATTTTAAAGGAACATCCTGTAACCTTGATGAAATTTCTCAATGGAAATCGTAAGTGTGATTTATGCTTTATTTAAATATTTTTTTTTACAGATTCCTCTTATGTAAATAATCATTATAGAGTTATGGAGATTTTTGTATAATTACTGAAATCATGAGCCAATCATTGTTAGACCACTATTAGAAACCTGGAAGCACCAGATGGCCGTTTCGTCCTAGTATGGGACGACTCATCAGTGGCAGTGCGTATCCACGAATCTTGTGAGTTGCGGTGAAGCTCAACTCTATTGGGTGTAGATAGGAACTACCGAAAATATAATGGGTGTGAGATTGTGCAAAATCACTAGATTGATCGGAGTTAGACGTTAACACCGTTAGATGCTGGCCGAGTTGTCCAGAGGTGGGAGACCGAAGTCCTTGAGTTCTATCCTTACGAGAAGCAGGAGTCCTGTACTAGGACGAAACGGCCGTCCAATGCTTCTTGGTCTAATAGTAATTGATTCACAATTTCAATAACATCTTATTTTCGTCCAACTAAATTAATATATTGTTTCATAGTGTTACGCCTACACGTCAACTTGATATACTTGAACCATTACGAGTTACCTAGTCGGAAACGAGAGAAAGGACCCGGTGACACGACATGTTACTCAAATCCGATTATCACAACCCCCATATTTAGTCAAAATAAGAAGACGTGATATGAAGTAGGACGTGTATTCCACAAGCGTCCAGAAAGCACGAGGTCCGAATGCAGAAGAGAATCAGGACCCCGGACTAGGGATCCGGGACTGAGCCCTGGTCCTGGTCGTGGTCAATAAACGTTACAGAAAATGCGTATTTATACATTTTGATCGAATAGGAAACAGCATGGAATTCTGTGGCATTGACAGTTAAGACGACCAATAGGAAGTAACATTTGAAGTGACATTGAAAATCAGGACAACCAATAAGAAACAACATTGAAGTATTTGACTTTGACAGTTATAACGACCATAAATTTGACCGATAGAAATCGACCAATAGGACTTGACCAATAATTTTCTTAGGGTATTGGATGAATATCCTAACACAGCATGTTTATATTACTGATTAAAAGGAGTTATTACATAAAATCCCCTGAAATAAAATATGATCATTAGAAAGTGGTTTCACTTGAGTGTGCTCTGACCAGTTCAGGCTGTATATAACTATGTGATCAACTACTTGAATTCATTACCTAACGAAAGCCAATGGTTTGAGTTGTTAAATAATAGTGGTTTTATTTCAAATTTCAATTGTATTTCATAAATGTTTGTTTAATCACATGACTAATTGAACCACTATGTGAATAATAATAATATTTTTCTTTTTGCAGCTACAACTGATCAATTTTTACTGGAAAAATGGAAAACGAAACTGAAATCTTGTCTTTTTAGTGATAAAATTGATGCTATGAAAAAGTTTATTTGTATGAATTATGAATTTTTAGTAAAGTATGTTTTTGTGTTGTTGTGAATACATTATTGTTATTATTATTATTGTTATTATTATCATTATTATTGTATTGAACTAAGTGTGTATATATAAGTTTGTCGAACTACTACCAATACTACTATTACTACTACTGTAGTGAACGAGAACACAGGTGGGGCAACCGAATTGTATTTAACGAAAATTACAGAGTTACTCAGTAAAATCGGAAAACCATATCGTAAATCGTTAATTTGCAAAATATCAGTTCTTCATATTGAACTGGACTTTTCCTGTTACAAAACATCAGTCCATTGTCACTATTCATGCGTTTCATACAAATTCCATTGTTTTCTAACTCTTCCTTTCTTGATCTTCCCCCATCTTCGGCTGCCAGACATTACGTTGACACTCACGTCATATACTACTTATAAGTAGCTCGCACCACACTCGTCCCCCCTTTTAATAAGCTGTCGTGGTAGTCTTTCTGATTGCCGTACCGTTGTCATCTTTGGTGCTTTTCGTGACTCATACACTTGATAATCTTGAAAACATCTCTGCAGTTGACTAGCATTTACGCGCTTCTTCTTGTCTTCTCTCCGTATGCCCGTTTATCTGCGGATGATACGGCGTAGTTCGTATCCTCTTGACGCCAACTGCTTTGGACGGACTTTCAAAACAGGGACCCTAGTCAGTTAATATCACCTTCCGTATTCCGTGACACGCTACAATAAGCCGGAATACCACTTCGGTAATTTTTCTTGCCCGCTGGTCTGGAATGGGTACGGCATCTATCCAACGTGTAGCGTTTACTAGTCCCCGCTGCTGGGACACGGCGGCAGGCACACTCTCGTTAAATTGCGACGCCAACAACTGTGCCCCCGACTGCCCATCCATACTCGGCAGCGAACGGCGCAGCAACATCGTGAGCTCCACAGCCAGCACCAACGGCTCACCTTCAGCCGACACCCTCGCCAACCGGAAACTCTGCGGCACCTCCTCCCTGTCCACCGTCATCAGCGCCCGGTTACAGTCTCCCACGCTGTTTTCCCGGCGTCACCGTCCAGGCTGTCGTATATGTTTAACAATACCCTATTAAAAACTTTGCATGGTATTGAGAGAAGAGTGATGCCTCTGTAGTTCTCACACTTGCTGAGATCGCCTTTCTTTGGTACTTTGGTCAGGTATCATTACAAGTCTGATGGTTGAATCAGTATAGCTTAAAATAAAGTCATCAGTTTTGTATTATGAATTATGAGGTTGTAGAGATTGTTGAAATCATGAATCGATCAATGTCAGACCATCGTAAGAAACCTGGAAGCATTGGACGGCCGTTTCGTTCTGGTATGGGACTCATCAGTAGTGTGTACCCATGACTTCCACAACTCTCAATGTTAATGTCTAACTTCGATTAATTCAGGTATTTTGCGCAACCTCATCCACTGTCTTTGGTAAGCACTGCTTCATATCTGAACAGGGTTGATTTTCACTGGTCACGACTTCTCACTAGAACTCGAAGAAACTTCCTCACATAACTAGTCATTAGTGAGCACATGTAATTTGCATGATGGGGTTGTGGAAATTCTTGAGTTTGTTTTTGAAATCGCAAGATCAAAGTTTCAGGGTTCGAATACTGCCAGTAGCAGAAGTCGTGGATGCGCACTACTTATGAGTCCCATACCAGGATGAAACGCTTATTCAGTGCTTCCAGGTTTCTAACTATGGTATGACAATGATCGATTTATGATTTCGAAAAGTTTTGTATTAGTTAAGCTGTTCTCATGAACGCATTTACATATTTCTATTTATGTCCAAAATGATGCCTTTTTATTTTTTTTAATCAATAGATATCCAAATTCATTTTGTGAATTAGCTATCAATCAAGATTCCAGTCAATGGATTCATAATTTAGGCGTTTCATTATTGTATGATACTGATTTCCATGTACAAAGGCAATTAAACATAAATAATAATAATAATCAGTTACTCTTCCGTTTAAATTCACCAAAATGCACATTAATTAAACCTATGCAAGCAAATACGATATATAAACCAATTGTAACATTGAATGGTTCCATGGATGTGCCAACATCTGTGGAAATGAATGCAACAGCTAAGATATTGGTGTATGGAACTAGATGTGGTACTATCACTTTTGTAGAATTGTCCTCTATGCATGTGAGTTCCTCTTGTAAATTTCCATTTTCCGGATCGATTCTTTTACATTGTCTTTAGATTCTTTACATTGTTGTCTAACTATTTAAAACATTTGACATAAAATTTATGGACAAACTGAATTTGTGATAGGGAGTGAAGCGGTTGAGCGCGTCGACCACTTCACTTATCTCGGGAGTCTCATCAGTGCTGCTGGCCTGTTGACTGACGAAATCTCATTAAGAATACATAAAGCTCGATTGGCTTTTGCTAACTTCCGTCACTTTTGGCGTAGGGTGAGATATCCGTTTGCTAACCAAAGGACAGGTGTACTGCGCAGCCGTTCGCTCTGTCCTGTTATATAGATGCGTAACGTAGCCGGTAAGAGTTGAGGATATTCGTAGGGTTTTAGTATTCGATTATAGATTTCTTCGAAGCATTGCTCGTGTATGTTGGTACAACCGAGTAAGCAATGCTGTTATTATGAAATGGGTGCTGGGTAAGAATGGCAAATCAATAGATGAAGTAATGACACTTCATCAGTTGAGGTAGTTAGGACATGTGTTACGATTGTCCAACCACCGGCTGCCCCGACGAGCTATATTTTGTTGTGTAGGAATAGAGGGGCTGAAAGCCAGGGGCGTTGTTGGAATATTCATCAAATATCCTAACAGAATTATTTTTGTAAGTGTAATTCTATTAGTCAATTCCTACTGGTCAATATTATGGTCGTCCTAGATATCAGTGTCATGTACTTCAATGTTGTTTCCAAATGGTTGTCCTGACTATCAATGTCAATTCAAATGATTTTTCATATTGGTCGTCCTTACTGTCAATGTCACAGACTTCAACGTTGTTTCTTATTCGAGCTAACTGTATAAATGCGCAATATCTGTAACGTTTTTGTGACCCGGACGCAGATCCCTAGTCCGGGATCCTGATTCTCTTCTGGACTCAGACCTCGTGCTTTCCGGATTCTATGAGATTCTGTGTTCTATGAGATTGTACTTTTCTGAATTCCTCATCACCTTTATCTCTCTCTTTCTAAATTTATCTTACTGAATTATACTTCTGGATAATTTCTTCGAACCCTAATCTCCTCCATTACTACTAATACTTTTACTACCTCTACTACTATGAGATTTGAATGGATAATTACATCTCTGTGCTAATATGATATTGCAACATGAACTTATGTAGACATGTATCAAGTTCTACGTTGTAACTGACTGACTGACAAACTGTATTCGCATCAATGTTGAGATGATTTAATAAATATGGGTCTTGTAATGAGATTCTGATGAACAATGTGACGTTCGGCTTAGTGACCCTGATTTTCATCAACTTACTTAGGAGACTCAATCATCAAACCGCGATTTCACGCCGACTGTTTTTGATATTTCTCTATTTTTACATTAACTATTCAAGGTTACTGTCTTTACCAATAATAGTATTATTATTTTCGGTCTGTTTTACTTTATTTTAGGAACTGTGGTCATTAACTGGACATCATTCAAGTGTTGAAAGTTTATGTTTCCTTGACGAATTTCCCAGTAAATCTGAAAATAAGAAATCCTCGAAAAATGTGACTTCACAACTTTGGCTATTGAGTGGCTCAGAAGATGGTGATATTTTCATCTGGGATGTGTCTACTATGATTCACAATGTTGAATCTAAAATGGATCATAAGGCAGGAGTTTCACAGTTAGCCTCCTTATGTGGATATCATCGTCGATGTGTAACCACTTCTGCTTGGCATCCAAGACGTCAGCTTATCGCAACCGGGGATTTGGACTGTTTAGTGTACTTATGGAATGTATCAGAAATTTCACTTGAACCCAAGCAACAATCGAAAAGTATCTGTTCAGTAGAGCTTCATCCATACAAGTTGATAAATGTATCTAGTTATCCGGTTATTTCAGTTTCATTTCGATTACCATCTCTGTTGAACAATAAACAAGAAGATTTAATCCATGATGACTTGGCTATAGGATGTTGGGATGGTACAATACATTTCTACAATTTATCATCTTTATCTATTGTAAGGGTAAGAGTTGCCAGATTTTGCTGTGTTATTTTTCAAGATGATAGCTTGGTTAGTCACCAAATCCCAGGTTACCCCGATGCTCCACCTACTTTGACTTCGCTTGACCAACCGATCAAGCCTTCGTTATCCTTGCTGAGGTTTTGCCAGTCACCAAGCCATCAGCACTGCTGACAAGTGGAACCGTTTCACGGTGTGGGCAGCCGTTGTCCCTTGGGCTCTGCGATCACGTTAAGACCAACGCTAATCTATCTTTCTTTTCAGGTTCCTCAAGCAACACTTTTCCACGGTGTAGGCAACCGGGAAGTAACATCCTCCCTTTTTACGCATAATAGCACACGAGGCCAAATTGGTCACAATCCAAATCCTTTCTACACATCCTAATAACTCTCTATTATCTGCTTGACCAACCTTTCGACAAATAAGTATGAACAGTTGTAGATTTCTATCTGCTTCAGTGTAATCTATTATTTTGTTTCTTTAAATTTTTTTCTGGTAAATAGTCATTATCAGCTTCAACATCACTCTGTTCACTTGCCTATTCACCAAATGGTGGGAATATTTTAGCAACGTTTGATAGAAATGGTGAATTAATGCTATGGAATAATGATATACTTTGGTACCAATGTGGTGTCATACAAACTAATCCATGTATTGATTATGATTATTTTCCATTTGATCAATCGGATGAATTAATGCCAAATTGTAATGGAAAGATATGCTTTTCAAAACCAAACGGTCAATACATTTTCCAATCAGGTGGTGGTCAATTCTTAAATTATTATATTAATATTTGGGATACTGGGCTATGGGCAACGTTTGGTAAGATTTTTGGATTTTTGTTTGATTAAACTATGAATTTGTTCTTGCTTTGAGTACTTTTCACTTCATTTTATACATATTTTTTTCAATTTATTTTAGATGTCATTAATTTGTGAATTGTGTTTGATCAGTCAGAAAACCAAAGATATCAAGTTATAGAAATTTAGTTGAATATTTAGATTTGTGTTGCTCGAAAGGTAGGAGTGGCCAAACCAAAACATGGCACAAATCCACGAAGTCACTGACAAGTAGACTGAATCATGTTGGTTGAGGTGCACGAGACAATCGTAACCGTTGGTTATAGATTCTGTACGATATGGTTCAAATTCATTTGCAATGGCTCAGGTGCATCCATTCTTTGTAATCTCTCAAATTCTTATATTCTGAGTTTCTCATCCCAGTGTTTTTTTTTCTCTTTTTAAATTTATTTCACTGAGATCTATTTCTCGCATCATATCTTTGATTACTAATCTTTTTGATTACCGCTAATATTTCAACTACCTCTACCGCTACGGGATTTGAGTTAACAATCCTATGTCTGCGCTAATGTGATATCTCAACGAAGTTCCACGTTGTAATTAACTGAATAACTGAGTCTCATTTTACTGTGTTTGCTCTATACATACTCTTGTTATTTAGTCTTAGATCGGATATTATGTGACTGAATATCACATAATCTAATATAACCCATTATTTACTAATTTTAATACCTTGTGTCCACTGTATGATTTTATATTTTTCTGGTTTGCGTCTTTTTAGCGAGTTGGTTTTCTACGGGATTGAATCGTCAACTCCATGTCCAACCCTCCTTTATTCAGGCTTGGGATCGGTAGTAACTCTCAGAAAGAGGTTCACAATTAATTTAATTAGTTCATTAGACAATTAACTCTCACTTCTAACTTGTAAATTGAAAAAATTACTGTTTTAGCTCAAATTAATTGTAACATGCTTTAATAACAGATCCTTTATCTAGTTATACAGCCTAAAACTTATATATCACGATATTATATTCAGTTATTTACCTACCTACTTACTTATGCCTATTACCCCTAATAGAGCATGAACTGCCGACCGGCATTCTTCATCCTAGACCTCCTTTTCCAGTTCTACCCAATTGTTATTCATTCTTTTTTTTGTATGTCTGTCTCCAATGTTTGGCACAGTGTGTTCCTCAGTCTACTTTCTTTTCCTTTGACCTAGAGAGTTTCAAGTTAGGAATTGTTTTGTGAGATGCATTTGAATGATTTCTACAATGTACGTTCTATCCACTTCCAGTGGTTTTATCTAATTTCTTCCTCAGTTATCATTAGTTGTTTAGTCAGTCAGTTGCAACGTAGAACTTCGTACGTATGTACATAAGTTCATGTTGCCATACCACATTATTAGCACAGAGACGCAAATGTCAAATCAAATCCCATAGTGATAAAGATAGTAGAGGTATTAATGTTAATAAAGAAGACTAGGGTTTAAGATATTATTCAAAAAATATAATTCAGTGAGATAAGGTTAGAAAGACAAAGGTAGAGGTGCTGACGAATCTAGAAGATTAGGATTTGAGAGAGCTCAAAGAGTGGATGCACCTGCGCCATTGCAAACGATTTTGAGCCATGTCGTTCAAGGTCTCTAACCATTGGTGACTCTCGTCTCGCGGACCCCAACCAGGTAGTCTACATCTACCAACATGACTCAGTCCACTTGTCAGTGACTTCATGGATTTGTGCCATGTTTTGGTCTGGCCGCCCCTAGCTTTCTTCCAACCTACTCCTACACCACAAAACATAGCTCGTCGAGGCAGTCGGTGGTTAGGCATACGTAACACATGTCCCAACCACCTCAACTGATGAAGTTTCACCACTTCATCTATTGATCCGCCATCCTTACCTAGTACTCGTTTCCTAACGACAGCATTGCTTACTCGGCTGTTGTTGTTGTTTAGTCATAATCATTGTGGAACTTACTAGAAGTATGAGTGAGTTAGCTAAAGTTTTCATTAAACATTATTAGTACAATGGGTTAAAATTATTGTGATAAGTGGTGAATGCGTTGAAATTATATTGTATATATTAATGACAATATGAAAAGCTGAACATTGAGATTATTGCTCAATAATATAAAATGAAAAGTTTTTTATGAAGTTTTACTTGAACTAGAAATCGATTGAAAGTTAGTTAGAGAATAAATATATACCTACTCTATTACGATCGATTTTAATTCATATATCACTCAGTGTCTCTGGTAAATAAACTTTGTACCACCTCTTGACTTTAGAAAATTCATTTGTTCAATTTAAAATATTCTCCATTTAATCTTTAAACAATCATTGCAGTTTATAGGAGAGAATATAAGTGGTTTTTCTTGAAAAGGATCGAAAAAGTTAATGATATTAAACATAGTTATACAAATTGTTGTGTTTGCACTAAACTCGTGAATTAATCATTGTTAGACCACCATAAGAAACCTGCCGTTTAGTTTTAGTGTGGGACTCTTCAAAGTTCAACATTAACACTGTTGGATTCAGGCAAAGCAGTGGTCTTGCAAAACTGATGGTCTTGGGTTCGATCCTGGTATGTGGAAGCTGTGGATAAGCTTGCTAAAGAGTCTCATACTAGAACAAAATGGCCGTCCGGTGCTTTTTCCAGGCATATAATGCTAGTCAAACAATGATTGGTTTCATGATTTCATTGAATAACTTCATTCAGTCAGTCTATCAAACATCGCTTGTAATCGATGTGTTTTGTTAGTATTGGTTCAATAGTATTATTCTGATCATATAATACGGTTGATCAGTGACTATCAACCATGATTATGATGATGAAAAGCATACTGTTGTTACCTCATGTCTGTGAACGATGATTCTATGGTAATATTGTAACGGTTTGCTTATATAATTCCCGGCTATGTCCCACTAACACCTCCCCTTTGAGAAGATTCGTAGGATCTGGTGCTAGAGTCCGACTGCTTCCTGAGTGCCTTGCCACCCGTACTCTTACCAGTCGGCTGCTTTGTAGGAGCCATATCTTTAAACAACCGTCTATTGGGCTGCTTCCCCATCGATAAGTTTTGTTGAGGCTCATGAACAGCATATGGTATAGGGCGTCTCGGACGTGAAATAGGTTTGGCATCTGCTTTCATATTCGTACAGCGGCCAAGGCTATTCTAAAAAGCAGAGGCTGACTTCCTCTTCCGTTTATATTGTAACCTTTCACCTGTCTTCTTTTTAATTATCGGGGTGTCCAATGATGAACACGATACGCTGCAGACACTGTTAATGGGTACATCCATTATTCCCAGTTTTTCTAGCATATCTAGACCAAGAAGATCAAGGTTTGGCCGTTCTGTCAGATAGCATATTCCTGTACATTTTGTTCCGTTGAAGGAAAATTCACACTGTATCTCACCAACCAGTTTTAACACACCACCTGAAGCGCTTTTTACTGTTTTCTTAGATGGCTTCATTGGCGGTTTTCCCAGCAAGTTATACGTTTCTCTAGACATTAAGCTGATATCTGATGCCGTGTCGATTTGAAAACGAGCTGATGCACCGTTCATCTGGATAGTAACATACTTTCTCCGAACGTCATAGTCTGTTTGGAAAGCAGCTACCAGAGAAAGTGATTTAGACTCGGCTAATTTCACCACATGTCGAGTACGTTTATGCTTCTTCCTGGGCTGAGACGTACTATTTGGTTGACAATGGCCTTCTTTATGTCCACGTTTGTTGCACATCTGACATTTTTGTTTTTTAAATGAACAGAACAGTGGGTAGTGCCAATCACCACATAACCAACATGCCGTCGTTGGTTTGTTGCAACATGTTTTCGGCTTCTGGACTTTTAACCTAGTAATAGCATTGATACTACTGCTGGTTAAATTAGGATTTACCTGTTCAATCAACATGTTATCGTTTCTGATACTTTGTAGTTGTTTACACTCATCTGTCAACGTTCTGAGTTTGACGTAGGTTTGACTTAGGTTTCATACTATTTAACACTCATCTGTAAGCATCATCTATAATCTTGAGTATATCGATATTGCATCGTGGATATGAACCTTAGTTAATCAGCTTCACTGTGTGTAATTTGAAAATCTATAGTGGAATTAAGTTGTTTAATAAATCAAGGACATTCGCACATGTTATATATCATATTCCTTAAGCTGTCCTAATTAACATAAACAAACCTTAGTCGGTATATTATTTTATCTTACCTCATTGATCTTGATTCTTGTGTTGATCCTTTGTAATATAGGTCCATGGAATGATGTGAAACTCCCTGAAATGAATTCAAGAAATTCTGTATATGTAACCTGTGTGACTATATTGCCTACTTCAGAACATGTTTTAATAGGTTGGAGTAATGGTGATCTGACTGTTGTTTATGTATATAACGGTAGATTACTTCATTATTTGAAAGCACCGACAGAGGATAATTCATCAATTCAGTGTATTACAAGTATGTGTGTAAGATCTTACCAAAGACTTGATACATATAATGTTGTTGTTGGTAATTCATCTGGTGCTGTACGAGTAAGTTGGTTAAATTATTGTAAGTCTTCATTAATGATATATATATATATATATATATATATATATATATAGTCATACTGATCACTAGTGACAAAGTCCAACTTTTTATTGTGGTATATTGGTTGAAACGCTTACTCTTTTGGATCGTACTGTAATAACCTAGGTTAGCTGGAACAGCGTTAACTTCCTTCGTAACCTTAATGACACATGAGATCACAATCGACCTTCATCTTCATCACCATGATGACAAATACTAAAATAATCAATATGAAATAATGTAGAGTGATTGCGAATTCGTTGAGGTATGACAAATTGTGATGGAGTTTCGTTCTCTGTCAGCTAGATGTTTTTGTGTTGTGGAGCTTTTTCTTATTCTTCTGAACAATAACATCATCAGCACAAACTTCAGATAATACAGTTAATTATTCGAATTTCTCCAAGTTTGACCTGTAGCTTGTTCTGCTCAACCCTTGATCTTGTTTGATTGTTATTGACCTTTAAACTAGTCGTCGTTGCCATCTGCTAAACAAGAATTAATACTTTCTGTAGGATTTAATTTGTCCTACAAATGTAATTCTAGAACGGTAAACGCAATATTGGCAAGCACAGAGTCTATGGGAAAGCTATAGTCAAAACAAGACCAATTTTTGCTTTAAACTTTATCTGTTTGCAAACATAAAAACAATTACATTGATATAATAAATAAGAAAATTATATTTATCAAGTGAAACGAGCAAACGTACCGACCAAATATAGTGTGTCTTATGGAAATGAATCAAGATATGAGTCACATCAATATGATAAGGTAATATTTTGGGACATAGTTTTGGAGGTTTGTGTTTTTACGCATTCGAAATCATCAATCAATCATTGTTAGACCACCATTAGAAACCTGGAAGCACTGGACGGCCGTTTCGTCCTAGTATGGGACTCATCCGTGGCAGTGCGCATCCACGACTCCTGCACCTCGCAGGATTCGAACCCGGGACCTTTGGCATTGTAGGCGAACGCCTTACCATCGGACCACTGGGCCGGCATCCAACGGTGTTAATGTCTAACTCTGATTGGTCTACGGATTTTGCGCGACCTCACCCATTTGTCTTTGGTAGTTACTGCCTACACCCGACAGGGTTGAACTCCACTAGTCACGTCTTCTCAACTAGAACTCCGAGAATTTCCTCACGAAGCTACTCACTAGTGAGCACTGTTACGATATTTTGGGGCACAGTTTTGAAGGTTTGCGTTTTTACACATTTGAAATGATCAATCAATCATTATTACACCACCATTAGAAACCTGGAAGCACTGGACGGCCGTTTCGTCCTAGTTAGTAGGTCATTTACATCAAAGAAAGTTTACAGACACGTCAGATCAGATCACGTGATGGACGACTGAACCACAATTTGATTGGTTAGTTATGGGCATAACTACAATTAGTTATAGAAATGACTAACACTTTCTCTTTCATTAATTGATAATTTGTTAAATTTTACTCTGCTCCTTAATTAAAACAGAGTTCCATTGTTTCTTCCTTTTTGAACTATCTCTCTTTCTCTCTGTCTCTCTCTGGTATAGATATATTTATGCATTTTAAAGCCAAAAATTAGTCCATACGAAGGGCGTTATATTTATCAGTCAGGAAATGCAATGTCTGAACTTCATTTCCAACTTATTGATACTTTATGGTCACATTCTATGAATCATAATATAAATGATGGTGTAACAGAAAAAAATGGTGGGACATTATGTTCTGCAAGTGTTTTCAGTGTAGCTGTCACTGGAGGTGGAAACGGTGAAACATGGATTTATTTTATTGGTCGTCGAACTGGTAGTAAAATTAAGAAAACTATTTGTTTGAATGATCATCACAATTCTGCAGTGATTTTGGTTAGTATGGAAAATAAATTTTTTGCAACAGCTTCTAAAAACAGAGTAAGCGTGATTGTATGTATTATAGTCCATTGAATTTAATTATTTTCACGAAGTGTTGACATTTTCAATTATTAGTGTTGAGGGGATTAGAATTTAAGAGAACATAAGGAATGGATGCAACTGCGCCATTGCAAACGATTTAGAACTATGTCTTTTAAAGTTTCTTACCATTGATGACTTGTGTCTCATGGACTTCAAACAGGTAGTCGACACTTACCAACATGATTTATATTGAGTAGTGTCAGTGACTTCATGGATTTGTGCCAAGTTTATGTTTGGTCGCCCCTAGCTTTCTTTCAACCTACTC